ATGCCCCGCAGCGCCGGGAACGGAACCCAGGCGTCCTGGCCCCACAGGGCTCTGCTACTCACTAGACAGCCCCTGCGTCGTAGCAATTTGGGGCTTGGGAGGGCAGGTGGTTACGCCCCTTCCCCAGGTGGCCTCACTAACCCCCACTGTCCCCCTCCCCAAAGTGTCTCAACGTGACGCAGCTGCTGGTGAACTTCGGGCTGAATGCCGGCTCCCAGATCACGCCCGAGCAGTTTACGTTGCTGTGCCCGGCCCTGCTCTACCAGATCGACAGCCGGGTCTGCATCCGGCACCACGACCAGCTGACACCAGAGCCCCTGGGGGGGGCGCTGTGGCCAGGTAACACCCTCCCCTCGGCCAGGGCCTTGGGAAGGGGCAGCCACCCCGATGGGGAAACCGAGGCACAGAGCGGGGAGAGGACAGGCACTGGGAGCCTCTTCTTGTGCCAAGGGATTTGCCAAACCCCCAGGGTGGGGGGGGGGGATAGAGCCCAGGCCCCCCCCACTTGCCTCATCCCACTTCCTCTTGCAGTTCTAGGCTGGGGCTTCCTGGCCATCACGCTCATCAGCCTGCCCTCGGCGCTGGCCCTCCTGCTGGTGCCTTTCCTCGGCCGCGACTTCGGCCGCCTCCTGCTGGCCTTCCTGGTGGCGCTGGCCGTGGGGACGCTGTGCGGGGACGCCCTCCTTCACCTGTGGCCGCACGTACGTACAGGCTCGCCGGGCCCCCCAGCGCCCCCTGATCCCCACTGGGTCCCCCAGCCGGGCAGGCCCGAGCTGGAAAGCCTGGGACCGGGGAAGCACCCATGGGAGGCGGCGGGAGACGAGGTCGTCTGTGGCTCCATCCAGCAGAGCGTCTGCATTGCAGACAGGGAGCCCATCACACCCCCCCAGCCCCCGCCCGGGCATCCTCTCGGCCCCCTGCCTATCCCAGCTTGGCACCTGGACAGCGTCCCGAACCACCAGCCATCCCGCCCCCCCCCATTGAATCCCCCCGATTTCTCCCTGCCCCCCGGCTCTGGGAGCCCCCGAGAGGGACCCCGGGCTCCCCTCCCTCCTCCTGCGTTTAGGCCCAAGGGAGGCACCAGGAGACCCCGCGGGAGCAGCAGGACTCGGTGCTGAAGGGGCTGTCAGTCCTGGGGGGCATTTACGTCTTGTTCCTCATCGAACACCTCCTGGGCACGCTGAAGCAGAGACGGAGCCGGCTGGTAAGAGCTCGTGGGTCGTCCCGGCTGGCCGGGAGCCCGCCTAGGGCAGGGGGCTGGAGGGAGGGTGGGACAGCAGGGGGCGCCCTTCCCGTCAGCGCCCTGGGGCAATGCCGGGGGCACCGTGCTGCCGGCTTCCAGATGGGCCCCGATGCCGCGGGGGGCTGCAGAGCTGACGAGAGCAGGAGCGTTGGCACCGGTGTCCTGGCCCAGGCCCTGCCAGGGTCAGCACCTGCTGAGGGGGTGAGGGGGTGCCCTGCCTGTCCGGGGCAGTTACGTGGTGATGGCACATTCTGGGTCCTGATACTGCTGCGTCTCGGCTCCCTGGGCCCGTCCCGGCGTCCGGTCCGTCCACCACCACGTCCCGGCTCCCTTGGCCCGTCCCGGCGTCCGGTCCGTCCACCACCACGTCCCGGCTCTCTGGGCCCGTCCACCACCACGTCCCGGCTCCCTGGGCCCGTCCCGGCTCTCTGGGCCCGTCCAGCACCACGTCCCGGCTCCCTGGGCCCATACCGGCATCGGGTCCGTCTACCACCACGTCCCAGGTCTCTGGGCCCGTCCAGCACTACGTCCCGGCTCCCTGGGCCCATCCCGGCATCGGGTCCATCCAGCACCGTGGCCCATAAGTGCCTGGTTTGTGCCCGTCTAGGATAACGTGGGTGGGGCCCAGCCCAGGTGTCTCCCACACCAGCAGGCACGATGCCCCGAGCCAGCCGGGCCCTGGCCCGCCGGTCAGCTTTCAGCTCTCGCCGTTGCTTTCCCGCCCTCAGAGCCGCGCCGCGGGAAGGAGCCCAGCACTGGATGCAGACGGAAACCACAGCTTGACCCTGCGGGCATCGGCGCCTTCCCCAGGTGAGCCTGGAGCTGTCGCTCGCTCCTGCCCCCTGCACGGAGGCTGGAGAAGCCAGAAACTGCCCCCGCCCCCAGCCAGTGCCCCTGCCCCGCTCCCCACAGCGCCCCCTGCTGGGAGAGGCCAGCACAGAGGCAGCTGTCTGGGCCGCCCGACCTCTCCAGTCCGGCACTTCCCTGCAGCCTGGTCCCCAGCCCCAGCCACTGTTCCCCCGCCGGCTCGGGGCTGCTACCAGCCTGCGGCTGCTCTTCCGAAGGCGCAGAAGCCGAATCGCAGCGTCTGACGGCCCCGGGGCCGCTCAGCGACAGCCCTGGCCGGGGAGAGGAGGGGGCGAGGCAGCTAGCGCCGAGCGCGGACGGACAGACGGAGGAGCTGAGCCACCATGGACACTCGCACGGCCCGGTGGCCGGCAGCGCCGACATCGTCTGGATGGTCATCCTGGGGGACGGGATACACAACCTGACGGATGGGCTGGCCATCGGTAAGGGGGCGGGGGCAGGGGCGGGAGCCACCCCAGGGCTGGGGCACCGGCTTCCTGGTACCAATTGGCTTCTCGTTCCCGCAGGGGCTGCGTTTTCCGAGGGCATCTCCAGCGGCTTGAGCACCACGGTCGCCGTCTTCTGCCATGAACTGCCCCACGAGCTCGGTAAGACCCCTAGTAGCGCGGCACGGCGGGCACCGCCCCCCCCAGCCACGCCAGCTGCCTGGCATCCCACACGCTCTCATCTGCTGCTTCCCTCGCTCTGGCAGGCGACCTGGCCATGTTGCTGCAGGCGGGCCTGCCCGTCAAGAGAGTGCTTCTCTCCAACCTCGTGTCGGCCTTCCTGGCGTACCTGGGCATGGCGGTGGGCACGGTGGTCAGCCAGGGCGCCTCGCCAATCACCCCCTGGATCTTCTCCATCACAGCGGGCATCTTTCTCTATGTGGCGCTGGTGGACATGGTAAGGGGGGGCTGGCTCCGGTACTGCTTCGCCAGGTGGGTGCAGGTCCTGGGTGGCGTCTGCAGCTCGGTTGGGTTCGCGGCAGATCCTGGTGCTGCTGAGGCCGCACGCCGGGCACCACGCCGCCCCCTCGCCTCGTGTCTCGCACGGTGATCGGCAGCTCTTTGGCATGGGGGCGGTTTTGGCTCTGGGTTTGCCCAGCCCCTGGTGCCGCGGGGTCCTGTCCCACGCCTGCGGCTCTGGGGACCGCCAATCATCCCGAAGAACAAGTGTAGGGCCGGCGCCAGGTTTGAGAGAGAAAAATCTCCAGGTGGGAACGCTCTGAACTGGGTTTGCTACATCCGGAGAACAGCTCCCCCCAGCGTAACCCTAATGCCACCCCCGTTGCTTGCATGAAGGGCGGCACAGGCTTCTCAACTGGCTAGCCAGAGGGCAGGCCGAGCAAGTCAGCGCCTGGCACAGGCCCACCCAGGGCTCTGGGGTTATCCCCTCCCCGTGTCGGCGGAGCTGTTGGCTCACAGGTTTCTGGTTTCCCTGCAGCTGCCCGAGATGCTGCGGCGAAGCTCCGGCGGGAACAGGAAGGGGCCCGTGACGTATTTCGCCCTCCAGAACCTGGGCTATCTCCTGGGGGCGGCCATCATGCTGTGCATCGCCCTCTTCGAAGGGCAGATGAGCTTCCGTGTGGATCTGTAACACGGGGGCGGCCACACGGCTCGCCGAACTCGGACGGGACGGGGCCGAGGTTCCGGGCACCCCCTGCCCCATGGCTGCTTCGCAGAGAACTAGGACCCCAGACTCTCTTCCTGCTGACGGCTGGTGCGTGACACCCAGGGCAGCCCCCGCACTCTCTGTTTGCTCCACATCCCCCGGGGGCAAGCGTGGGTCGTGACTTGGGGGGGCCCGGAGCTGACTGGTGCGGAAGAGGGGCAGCGTTTTGCTGTTCAGTTCAGGGAGGAGAGCGTGTGGCCAGCACAATCCCCTACCCCCCTTTCCGTGAGGACACTGCCGTTCAGTCTCAGCGTCTGCCCGACATTTCGGTATGTCACGTGCACGAGGCCAGGCTGGCCCCCGAGTGAGTCTCGGCGTTTCGGAGAGGGAAACGCAGCCGATCCGTGGGCGATTTTGGGGCGGAGTGCAGGAGACGTTGCTAAAGGGGGCAGCGCCAGAGTCCGATGGGAGCCAACAGCCCCACGCAGAGGGTGCGTTCATCGCCGGGAGGAGACGTTCATCTGGGGAGCGGACACGGGAACTCTTACCTTCACCACCGTCCAGAGACAAGCGGCAGCGCTCCTTCCGCTCCACCGCCCGGGATAGAGCCTCCGAACTCCGCTGGGCAGCTAACTGTTTAACCGAACTGAACGAAAAGAATCCACCCCCCCCCCTGCGCCTGCCCACTGAAGCTATGGTTCTGCAGGGTGCTGTGACTTACCAGACCAGTTTCCCCACCTAGCCTCTGCCAACAGCTTCTGTAAGGACCAAATCCAGTTTAATTGGACTGGGGGGGGGTCAGGAAACCAGAATTCCGTTCCCAGCTCTGCCACTGACTTTCCTGAGTGAACCTGGACAACTCGCCCCGCCCTGTGCCTCAGTTTCCCCATCTGTAAAACAGACATGGTGATTCTGCCCTGCTTTGAGATCTGATCTACGGCTGAAAAGCGCTGCAGGAGGGCCCCCCCTCTCCCCCCCCCGGGCCCGATCCCGCCGGCGCTAACCCCCAGGGGTGGGCGGTGGGAAAGGAGGACGGGCGAGGAAGTAGAAGCAATAGCATTTTAATAAACATAATTGATTCAAAGCCACAATATGAAGAACAGGACTTGGTCGCAGCGTACATTGTAGAAAATAGATCAAGTCTGAATGCTTTTATTTTGAGTTCCTCCCACCCCCCCGGCGCCCCCCCAACTGATGCAGGATTTCTCAAAATACACACATGGAACATCTCCGACAAAAAGGGAACGTGGGAGTGGGGCAAGGCAAAGGGGTGGCATTCACGCTGTGGGGGTGGATGGCTTCTTGGGTGGTTTCCTTATTCAATTGCACAGCCCCACGAGGGGGTTTAACAGCTTTGGGTTTCCCTTGACAAACAGGATTTTGTATTTGTTTAAATTTCCTCCACAGAGACAAGTGCTTGGTTGGTCAGGACTTGATGTTGGCGCCCCCCCCGGGTGCCGGGTTGTACGGGAGGGGAGAGAAACCAGCGTGGCCCAAATCTTGCCAAGCCAGGCACCTGCAGCCTCTCGCCCCTGGGGGGGGGGGGTCTAGGAGAGGGTTTCACACCTTTTTTTCCTTTTTAAATGTTAATTGCACATCAAAACTCTGCTGTATTTCATGCCGCGTCCCCGCAGGGTCCCATGCACCTCTGCCGGTAAAGCAGTCGTCCCGATACTCCACCCACCCACCCGTCAACCGGCAGGGCAGTTTTTGTGCTTTAAACCAGCGGAGGAAGGAAGAATGAACTGGTTCAGGGGGCTGGGGAGGGGGGAGATACAGTTGAAGTCTCTTCCAAAGATTGGTCCAGGCCTTGCCCATATACCTGCCCTCTGCTGATATTGCAGGGGGGGGGGCGTGTTTCACAGAGCGCTCCCGTGGGAATACTCTAGCATCTCAGACATCTCTAGTTCACGCACGCGCCTCTCCCCTACCTGCTGAAATTAAAAGGCATTCCAATTAAGTTGCCCTGCACCATGACCTCCAATTAAGGCCCCCATCTATTAGGAACAACACCTCCACCACACGCTGGGTTTTGCTCGGCAGGTTCCAGGTTCAGTGCTCTGAAGGGGAAAAATTCCAGGGAACCAAAAGCCCCTTTTATTTCAAAAACCAAACCAAACCCCAGCAGCTGTTAAACACAATGAGCAGAGGCCAGCGCCGGTGGGGGTCAGTGCTTTCCAGGAAGGGGAACGTGACGCAGGGGGGCGGTGGCGAAGGAGAACGTTCTCAGTGGAAGTTTTCCCAGCAGCTCTTTTCTGGATCGGCCCTGTCCCAGCAACGCAGCCAGCTGCTCGGGATGTCAGCCCTAGGAGCCGGGGGTGGGATTTCAGAGACAAGAAAGCATTCTACACGTCCGTGAGCCATTCTGTTTATTGCAAGAGGTAGGTGTGAACAGTGCAGTGAAGTCTAAAATTAAACAGCTTTTTTGTATTTCCAACCATCTCAAATACACAACACCCAACGTGGGTCCCCCCCCGATGACATAAAATTCACACACGATGCAGCCACCTCCCCGCCACACGCCCCAACCCCTTCGCAGTGACCGAGCGGGTCCCCACTTGCTAACTTCTAGTGCCAATCCAGTTCAGTCAGGTCCCAAATGGACCTGACTGAATGGAACATGCTGGGGGAGGGGGGAGAGAAATACATCCAAGCGTCTGCCCTAAGCTCACGCACGCTGGGGACACCTGGTTAAAGTGCACGCCCTCAGGCCGCACCAGCTTCTGGGGGCCAGGTAGGGAGCTAACTCCTCGGGGGGGGGGATCTGTAAGCCCCCCCGCACAATGACTAACCCTCTCCTTAGAGCTCCCCAAATGGATCTTCCAGCTGGGCCAGCCCAGCGCTCTGGCATCTGTGCAGCCAGAAATGGAAACCACAGGAACACCAGTGTGAAAGAAGCCAGGAAAACGCCCCAAAGCCTGGGCGCTGAGCCCCCGCAAACCCCACGGCAGCCAACAAGCCACGAAACGGGTGCTAGAAATCACAGGCTGCTTTCAGTCTATTGCCTATAGGTCCCATGGGTGTTGGCTTCCCGGGCCTCCTTCAGACCGCAGAGGGGAACTTAGCGTCTGAGGTGACACCCCCCTGCCTGTAAAGGCAACGAGCCCGTGTGACGCTGCTGGGCCCAGCGTCCTCTGCAACACCACAAAGCCACACCGATCTACCGACCTGGGCTGAGACGCCTGCTTCTGCCTCATCCGCACACGCCGCGGGACCCCCTGGCACCTCGTCTCCCGCACGCAGCACTTATGGGTCAAGGCGGCAGCAAGTCCATTTCAGTCAGCGCCGTCTTTGTCCCCGCTGGGGGCTGGATCCGCCACTCGCCCTCGAGGTGAATTTGCTCCCTGAAGACCAGAACCACCATGGGTCTGGAACACGGATCTTCAAACAGGCCGAAAGATCACCAGTCGGCGAACCAGCTACCAACCCGCTGCCCGGGAGCGCGACTTGCTGACTTGGGGCCAGGACAGGAGCAGAGGCAAAGGAAGTCAAGGGGTATAAGGATGAGTTCTCTCCCAGCTGCACTAAGCCAATCCAAGCCAGGATGTGTTAAAAGTACCATCCTCCATGTTACACTGAGCCCTAAAGGCAGAAAATCGGTCGACGCAGGATGCACCTCTCGTGTTAAAGGCAACCACGGTGGCTATCAGCTCATGCCGACGCTGCCTGTGGGCAAAGTTTGGGGGGAAAAAATCCCCCTGCTGCCCATATTAATCAAATTGTATTGACTAGAAACTCACTGAGCGCGGGTCTAAACATCCACGGACAACAACTGCCGGGGTAGGGGAGAGGAATGAGAAATGGTTCCAGGGAGTTTCAAGTCAAAACCACATGCCGCGTTTCTGCTCTAGGGCGTGAGGTGTGTCGGCAGAGAGAGAGGGGCCTGGGGAGGGCAGGAGATCCACCCCCCCCCCCGGGCGATGGATAGGCAGCATCACACGTCATGCATCTCACACCACACAGCACGTTCTAGGAAACAGACGCACAAGACGCGTTTGTTACAGGACATAAAGAACACACCTAACCACGGTACATGCTGTCACACACCACACGGGTATTGTCGGGGGATGTCCGGAGAGCGATGTGTATTGTATTGATCTTGGACGCACCAATACAAGTGCAAACTAGAGGGTTTCAGCGCGCCCTGAAGGGGATAAGAGACAGTGGACTCCAGCAGCGAAGGCTCAGTGAATTGGGACTGAAATTATCTGAGTTCTACAGCGAACGTTACCGTTCTGACGGCAATTCCAACAGGCAGGGGCTTCCTTCCCAGCCCGTCTTCCTCTCCACCCAAATTCCCAGCCAGCACCTGCACTTTCAGAGAGAACTTTTGTGAATCCCCTACTGCTGCCCCAAGTAGCGCGCGGAGCGAAGAACCTGCAAGATTCAGCCGACGGCTATTGCTTTAGCGAGAGAGACGTTGGAGGCGACAGTCGGGGCAGACTGCCCCCTCCCGCCCCAGTTTGGCACATCTGTGACAAACAGAACATAAGGAAATAAAGTTACTCCCATTTCTCCTCCTCCCCCTCCCCATCTCCTCTCCTGTTTTCAGGAGTAACTACTGCAACCAAGCTTGGAGAATTCCTTAAAAATCCAGTTCCTAACAGGCCTGCAACAGAGCAGCTACGGTGCAGAGCAGGGAAAGGGGCTGGCCGGAGGGTCATTTAACCAATACTGACACTACAAGGCAAGATTTTTGGGTTGGGGGAGAGACGGGACAGAGAAATACACAGAGATTGTCAAGACGGAACTGGTCCAAAAGCAGAAATTCTGAAGGTAGGTCGCTAGAGATCAACAAACCCAATGGGAGACGGGGTGTAATTCATTTTTCCTAAGCAGACAGACAATGAGCGTAAACTTTACAACTCTCCTCTCCACACAGGTGCACAAGAAAGAAAAGGACAATGAAGAACTAACCGCCTGAATTAAAGAGAGGTCCTGAAAGTGCTTTGATTTGGAATCTTACTTTATATCTAAGCAAGTTACTGGCAAGATGTGCATGGGGCAAGATTCCAATCTTCCAGCAGATAGATTGGAGAATCCAGGGCATTCGGTTTCTCTTGCTAAATAGCAAAGTTGGAGCCTTGTAAACAAAAAACACCACTCAACTCTCTGCCCTTTCCCCAGTCACACAACGAAGCCTGGTGTCAAAACCAATGCTAGCCGTGTTCGAGGTTTCCCAGGCAAGTTTACAGGAACTGTTTTGCAGAGTGGTGTTAATCTTGCCGGAGGTAACTCACAGCAGCATGATTCTCTGACAGAATCCCCTTAACTGCAGGCATATCAGGGAAACGGTACCGTTAACAAGAAGCGTTTGAAGGGACAGTGCGGACTACAAATCTAGTCAATTTTAAACCAAAAATGTCAAGTAGTTTCATGTCCCACAGCTGCCCCTGAGCTCCCCTGGCAGGTTTTGTGGTTTGACCACCATATTTTCTCTCTTTAAAGAATACTTTTCTCTCCTCCGCACAAACAGAAGAAACTGACCGGAACCAAAGAGAGAAATATATTCTTCTTCTGATCTGCCTTATACTCATCATGGGTGAAATTGACTTAAGCAGCACAAAGACCTCCTACTGATGTTCGGCAGAGGGTGAAACGCTCGGTAACAAAGCAAGTAAAGAAAGCGGTTTAAAGACAGAAGCATGCTTTTGAAGTGGGTGCTGCCCCTCTGAACACTGGGTCGATCCAATGTGGACACCTCTCCCATCTATTTGCTAAGCAGGTCTTTTTGAGAGAGGAATTTAGTGGCATGGGTATTGTTAGGTACAGACGTCTCTAAGAGAGCATGCAGCCCAGCAGGAATCAAGATTCCTGCTACATATTGCTGGCTTTCGTCTTTGATTTTGAAATACCTCCTTAAAGAAGGAAGCAGGAGAAAGCTGTGGGAGCCCTAAGGCCAAAAATAAAATAGAAACTTGACAAATCTGTAGGGATGAGACAAAGCCTAAACTCCAGAACAGATCTGGCAAGCAGAAGTTTCCCTAGCATGCTGAGTGGAGGGGGGATGGAGAAGGTGCTGATCCGACAGAGCGGGAAGCTAAGCTGATGCAGGACAGAGACAGCACTTGACATCCTTCCCGGACAGAGGAGCCTTTTAATTTTTGGTTTTAAGGGAGGAGGATACAGACAAAAAAAGAAAAAATCCAAACCCAAATCAAAAACATTGTCAGAGGAGGGGAGACAGAAGCTGGCACGTAGCTATTTTCAGTGCAATTTTCAATCCTGTATTTACACGATACGACGATTCTAGTGAGGGACTCCAACAAGCCGCTACAGACACCTGACGCGCTATGCTCCAGGTAAGCCCATCTGCACACGGTGGCTCGCCGATGGCAGCGACGGCCCTGCGTTCTGGTGCGAGCTGCCAATGCTGCACTGAATAAGGTGGCAAAACTGCCAAGCACTCATTGGCTTGGCCACTTAATGCAGGGCTGCTCTGGGTTTCACTGCCCAGGTTTGACTCGATGCACCGCCTTGGATGGCAAAGCAGCGTGTCCTGAAAGCACGGCACGACTACAGCCCACATACTACTGCAGCCCCTCTGCCCCCCAAAAGCAGTGTGGGGGAGAAGGGCCCCTTCGGGTTGGGGGCTACGGACCTTCTCAGCGACATTTGCCCCTCATAGGCATCCCAAGGCTGTAGGTTGGTTTTGGTTTTTTGCAGCATCTAAATTCAGATGCAATCATGTCGCAAAGCCAGCGGTGCTGCCGATCTCTTAGCAAAGCACCCCAAATCCCCAATGTTAAAGAGCCCTGTTTCCTCAAGCCAACGACTCGGGGGAGCTGAGAGGCAATGCTAGGACCCCAAAGGGGTGAACTCTGATCAGGCTGCAAAATCTGTTCCTTCGATCTCGTGTGTGTGTGTGTGTGTGTGTGTGTGTGTGAGGATCCCACTATTCAACCCAACCTGCCAGAAACCCTTTTAAATCCAGGTGGGGTTTTTGGTCTATCTTTGGTGCCTGCTTTTGTTTGTGGGAGGCTAAAAGAGAAGGAAAATCATTGTAGATTTCCACTCTTCATTTTTCCATATACCCTCCAAATCCTTCCACCTCCACGGAGGGGAAGGGCTTCCCTCCACGTCTACCCCCTTTACCATCCCTGCCCCCTTTACCACCCTCCTCTATTTATTTGAAATCTACAGTGGACTATGGGGGCCCGAGACTGGTTTTGTCCCCTCTATTGAACGAAGACCGACCTGGTTGTTCCCTACTCTCGCCCGTGCTGCAAGGCATATGGTGGCAAAAAGGTTTTGCAGTTTCTAGATCCCTGGAGCGGTCGGGCTGCCTGACGCGGTTTTAAGAAAAGCCCCTTGTGGCAAGCCGGGGCTAGCGGCTTAACGTCGTCTGCTGCCTCTGAACTGCAGAAAGAAACAATGAGAGGGATGCGAGGGAGAATCCTACAGAACAAGGAGGGGGCAAGTCGGCAGATTCAAATGCCGGCAGGCCCCTATTTGGGGCCTGCTGCGCTTCGGGCCATGGTTCTCCGCAAAAAGCCGACTCCCCCCCCACCCCCCCGGTCCACACCCCCAGGGAATTGACAGTTCCAAGCAACTTCCAAACACTCACCCCCCCCGCCCCCAGCAAAAAACTAAAAATGAAAACAGCAGCCGTTTTGGTTAGTACCTTCAAGTAGATCAACAAGAAAAAGCCTTTTTGAAATCAAGACAGATTTCGAAGCAGAAATCCGGTTCCATGAAAATGCTCTCTTGCCCACCAGAACCGCAATGCTCGCGTGGGGACCGGGTGAGGGGCAGTTCCAAGGTACCCAGACCCCCCCCCCCCGAATATTGGCTAAGGCTCCCAGTGTCACCCCAGAGGGATGCTCAAACTGAAGAACTGGCCGTGTTGATTTATTGTTTTTGGTCATCTCCTAACGTTCCTTGCGTGCATCACCGTAGCTCACGTATTGCTTTTATGGGACGCTTCTCTTCTCCCGAACAAGCCGGATTTCACAGTAGTGCAAATTCAGACACAGGACGCAAAAGGCAAAACTACCAAAACTTCTACAGTGGTTTGGGGCCCGTGGCTAACTCCCTTCTCCACTGCTGTGGGTCGTGCCTCTGGTGAGAGGGAGAGATGGGTGTGGGGGTTACGTGGGAGTTTTCTCCAGCATGTTGCCCCAGTGACAGGGCTTGAAAATCCAAAAGCCAGTGGTGTATCCAGAGACTCCGTGTGGCAAAGAAATGGAGCCAGGGATGGCACGGCTGGGGATGGTGCCTGAGAACCCCCCCGGCACCCAGGAGATGCAGCTGTTTCCCCTCTGCAACTTTCAATGGAAGAGAGAAAAATGGTCGGGTCCCACAGTGCAAGAGCCAGAGAAGGGCTGGGGTGGTTTCTGGCCCCATTCCGTTCTAAGGGAGACGTTCAACCCAGCTCCTAAGGAATATCTGCTCTCGACACCCCATCTGGCTTACTTTCCTGGCCGCCTGGACCTCTCCTCTGAAGGGTCTGTGTCCCAGGAGCAAAGGCAGCAGAACACAACAGCCACTCTCTTGGGAAGGGGAGAGGAGACATCTTTGCCTGGGAAGGTAAACTGGATTTAAAGGTACCTCTCCTTTGCAAGCAGCCCAAGAAACCTCTTGTTCTCTCCCACTTTAAGCAGCTTCACTCTCTTGGCAGAATTTTTGCTACCTTGGCTCAATAAACCCCTGCCAGAGATTTCATCCTTGCGCTAGAATAGTCATGTAGCACCTCACAGGAAGAGAAAGGGGCCCTGGGCACGAGAAGACAAGACACGCGACAGCCCACCCCTTTACAGTCTCTGGACGAGTACCGGGCCTCTGCCAACCCTCGCTAACCACACACAGACGGCCTACGCAGGCAAGGTGCCAGGAAAGCCCCCCCACCCACCGAACAGGGATCCCAGAAACACCGTAGCCCCACAGAGACCGAGTGCGGAGCACCGCAGAAACTGCAATTTGGATCTATCTGTGAAGAACTAGTTGTGTCCTCTGCTCTTTGAGAGCACAGATTGGCAGGGCAGCCTTAAAACAGTTCCTCCTGCTCCTGTCTTTGCCCATATAACAGAGAGAGCGTTACAGTTTGGTTCTGATCAAGTGCTTTCTAAATGCCCAGCACAGGTGAAATTGCATACTGATTCTTAAACCCACTGTGCCCCCTGAGGCAGGTCTCCATGCATTTGCTTTATTCGTTTCAAGCTGATGAACAATAGTTAAGATTGGATTTAGTAAGGCTATTTTCCTCCCCCCTTTCTCCTTTGCATCGGAAGTGAACTGAAAAAGACGCCCACGCGCCCGCACACACACACATGCGCTGGAAAACCAAGACCCACACGAGGAAGAGTTGTTTATACCTGACTGGTGATGAGGTCTGAGCTATCTTAGTCAAAGAAATGCTTTATGTGCATAATATACAGAGGTGCAGCATTTACAAACAGGATTTTGTAAAGACACTGAGCTTGCTACAGGTGCCTTAAAAGTCCTTAAAGGTGTATTCCCCCAACCCGCCCGCCCCCTTCGGATTCTAGTTGCTTTGTTTCACATTGTATCTTTAAGGACTTTAAGTCTGACTAAATATTCATGATCCAAATGGAGCCATCCTCTAAATTTCAAAGAGTTCCTTTCCTCCTGGTTGTCTCCCCCTCTTGCTTCAGATGAAAAGTTTCACATCATTCCCCCCTCTCCCCCCGCCCCACCCCCCAAAAAAACAAAAAAAACACGTGTCCAGTTTTTACTCTCCGGCTGGCGGTTTCAGATTTTCAATACACCCCCAGCCAGGAGAAGAGGTTCAAACGGCTTTTTGCAGCCGCAAAGCCCCGAACCCAAACGGTCCACGTTTTCACGCCCGTGATCTCAAATGGAGGGTTGGGTTTTTCCTTTGGTTTCTTATTGAAGGCAAAGGTGAGAGCACAGCTTACAGTGTGAAGGGGACAGAAAAGACCTTTGACATTCACAACTGGGGGCGTGGGGGGGGGATCACACAAATTCCGCGCCCCCTTTCTGGTCCCTGTGGCATGGAGCCTTTTGGTGAGGAGGAAACACTCCTCCTAATTAGGGTTGAAGTGCAAGAGGAAATCTTGAGATGGAAGTTGATCCTTTTTATTTTATTTTTTTTGTATGGGGTGGGACAAGAGATTGTGGAGATCTCAATGCTGTTCCCCACCCCTGCTGCTCCCACCTAACCAAAAAAAAAAAGATGGTTGATTTTTATTTTTGTTTTACTAATACTTATAATCTGATACGCTCAGAAAAACAACAAAGGTCCGTTGTCCGGACAGAAGTCACGTAAGCGCTGGGAACGCCCTGGGAAATAAAGCTTACTTGTTCCCCTTTGGAGCCGTGTTTCTGTTCTTAGTGCTATTTGACTATCTTCCGATCTCAGCGGCTGGGATGTGCAGATCTGGGACCGACCACCCACTTGTCCTTGTAGGACAAGGGGGAGAAAACAAAATCCAGAGAAGCCTCTAATCTGCTGTGACTTGGGAACCAAAACAAAAGTGACGATGGTATCATCATCCTCAGGTTATTTTTGAATTCATGGAAGTGCCCATCGAGAATAAAGCCAATTCCTAGCTTCCCAGGACTGCCCTGGTCAAGGACATTACATTCAGTGTTTGTCAGCAGTTATATGGCTCAGTTGAACTGCCTGTCTGGCAGCGTGTCTAACAATGGCAGTGCAAATACATCTTTTGAGTTGAAATGCATTTGTGCTTGTTTTTTTTTTTTTAAACGTCAACTTCCCTTTGTTCATTCATTCCCTAGAAACGGAAACTTTCAACACTAAAATATAATCCCCCAGACACTCATCTCTCGTCCCTCCCTCCCGCCCTCCCCGCTGCTCTCTATCCCGTGGGTCACTAAAGAGAAACCAGACTCTCAGGTTTTAACAAAAGTGCTTGAAGCAAGTGCTGTGAAGCGAGGGCATGGAGAGAAACTTCCTTTTCTGGGAGGGGCGGGGGCAATCCCACACCTGGTTAGTTTTTAACAATGAAGTGGCACTGGTGGGAGCTGAAAAGGTTCACTCTACGCCAAATCTATGCACAGAGCCTAACAGAACGATAAGCAGGAATGGTTTGACTTTGGCATAAAGGTCTGTGTAGAGGAAGTTTTAGATAAGGCCCCCCCCCACCGCCACACACAAAACACTTAACGTTCTTATGCCGATGCAAATGAGGTGTCAAGAGACACAAAGTTGGAGGATTGGGGGGGACGAGCGGAAGTTTCCCTCCGACCCTCTTTACAATGCACTAGGGAAACCATCACAAATCTCGTTTAGCAAAATAATGCATTATTACCAAACACTTTGATTATTACTTAAATTGTCAAGCTGTGCTGTCAAATGTATACATTACAGCGTTAAAGGAGAACAAGACTGGCGCCTGCGGTAGAAACGGCCAATTTCCCCCCTTTCCCCAAACCCACCCTTCCACCCCCCCCCCTCCCCCAAAGCCCAAACCACGGATGCACTGCTGGAATGGTTTTCCGCTCCGGTATCATTATTATTATTTTTTTAAAAAGACAAGGGGAGGAGTAAAAATAATCCCCAAAAACGTACTAAGAGCAAATTAAATTAAATTAAAAAGTACGATGCAGCGGAGAGAAGACATGCTGAAGCCCTTAGAGAGATCACATTGATTGTCTTGTCAGAGTTTAGTCTTTATCATGTCAAGTGAAGAGGTAACGTGTTACAGCATGAAAACAAGGCAAACCAAAGGCCAATTTTTTCCTCTTAAAAAAAAAAAAAAGCTTAATGCCACTACACTAAAAAAAAAACCCACGCTCCAAACACTAGGCTAAGATACTCCCTTGCCCTGAAGAGGGGAAAATGGCTGCCCTTGTTTGAAATGATTTTGAAATCCTCCCCCTGTGATATTTAATTAAAATTAAAGCAAGATGGCATTAAAATTATCTCAGCGCTGCACGTATGTGCGTCTTGCCCTCTGCTGTACATGCGCACACAAGGGTGAAACCCGAGCCTTGGAGTCAACAGGAACTTGGCCATTTACTTCAACGGGGCAAGGATTTCACTCAAAACTACTGAGCCCTAAATGTGCCAGGTCTCTGTGACTCACCCCAGCAATTCTGTCACTGTTCCTTCAAACCCCCAGGAAAAGGACAAAGATAAGGGAAGCCAGGGCTTCCAGATCTGCACAGCTTTCTCAGTGTAGTGCTCTCGTACACTTCTGAATGCTCAGTCCCGCTGCGCAGCAAGAGAAAGACATTTGCCCTGGGGGGGGGGCAGGTAGGAGGGACAAATCTTGACTTTGGACCCATATTCCTGCCCCCCGTTACAGGAAATGTTACAGGGGCTTATTTGAAGGCTGAGAAATAGGCAGTGCCTGAATTCAGTATTTTAAAAATGAAAAGAGAAAGCGTTGCAAGAGGTAAGTACCCGAACTCAACAATAATGTAAACAAGTCGTTTTTTTTTTCCAGTTCTCCCTCTGCAGAATACTGAAAACGATCTTCCAAGAGGATCTTTCATTCAAGTTTTGTGTGGTTTGATGCCGAACTGAGGTATTCGGTGTAGAAAGGTAACACTTGCTATCAAGGTAGAGAACTTTAGTGCTGAGGGTGGAGGCGAGGAGAGAATTGATCTTGCTGCAACGTACCTAAGAACTGAGCCTTTTGGAACACGGTTCAGAAGGGGAAGGAAGGACTGGTTCAAACAGGCCACGAGGCTACTTGGCCAAGAACATCTTATACAGTGGCCTAAAACCCAAGTTGTTTATGCCTCACAGAATGGGCCAGCATCCAGTGGGTGGAGAGAAATCCTCACTCTGCTTTTGCGCATTGGATTCCTAGACTATCAGAGACACCAGCAAGGATTTTATTGACGTGCATTGAGGGAAACAGGCTGGCTCTCTGCCTTTTCTTCCTTCCCTATCTGGGGATTTTAGGCCCTCTCTGAAGACTAGAACTGGCTGTTTTCTACACACAGAGCGTTCCCTCGGCAGTCCGTGTTTCAAGGGTTTTGCTGAGCTGCAGTGTCAGATGGTAACGCTAAGGGAGACCAAGCTCAGCTGGTGCAGTGAGGATAAAGACGACGACTTTCAAGAGGAAAAACAAACAGAAATGCCACCCAAGTCTTTGCTACTCTCCGGATGAAACCCTTCCGTGAAATGAAAAGAAGATGCGCTGACCACCCAAAGGCCAAGACTGTAACTTCACATTTGGTTCTAAGAGTTAAACTTTGGTAAAAGAAACTAACAGTGCAACAGGAGCTGCTCGCTATTCCAGACTCTACTCCTGCCCGGATAAAGCACCTCTCTTTGCCGGCTGCCAGCATGCTAGCTACGGCCAGCATCCTGTCTCTCCGCTCCCTATTTGGCGCTCTTTTGGAAAGGGTGCGGTCTGTCATTGCCTGCGGGAAACAGCAATTCGTTGCAATGCCCATTTCACGTAACGTAAATGTCTGGCCAAAAAAACAAAAAGAAAATCGGAATTCACCTTCATTTACCAATACTCTATTTTGATCCAAAAAATGCTGATTTTTGTAATAGATGTAACTTAGGCAGGACAGCCAAAACTTATGGCTCGCCCATTTCCTGTAACAGTCTTACTGACCAAGAAGAGAAAGTGACTAGCGCCGATGCTCTGCTGAATGAAAAGGAGAGAGATCCCTTCCTGGACGTCCCCCCAGCCCCAACCCAAGGCTTGGTTCTCAAAATATTTCTTTTGGCGCGCGCACACGTCACTGACTATAGTCTGAGAACCAGGAGGTTATCCCACCCCCAAGGCTGCAAAAGGAAAGAGAATCAGTGGAAAAGATCGTACATCCAATGTTTTTGCCCTGTCTACCCGCTCTGATCGCTACATCCCAGTCTTTGGCTTCAAACAGACTTGCGATATGGTGAAAGGTTTTTCGTGGTTTTTTTTTTTTTGGCACATGATACTGTTACAGTAATTAAAAAAAAAGTAGTGCACATTCTTGAATGTTTAAAACATGCATTATAAATAGGATTTTTAAAATTAAAAAAAACCCAACAACACTTAAATGAAAACACCAATCCCACATACACACACGCTAATAAAACCTGCCAAGATGCCACATTAGAAAAATAAATACAGACTTAGGGTTGTGAATAAGGACTTTGAAGTGCATTTTTTCCTTAAAAGGTTAAAACTTTTTTTTGTGTTTTTTTTTTAAAGGTAAAAGCTCATTTCGTTATAAATAAATTTTTAAAAAGCAACACTGACGGACTCTCACATGGGAATGGCCGCGCAATACGGAGAGGAACAAAACTTAAGAAGGAATCGCCTCTCAGGATCCAACATTTTGCCAAAAGAAGAAAAAAATTAGAATCCCTAAAGTGCCTGGTGTGGGGAGGGAATATTCCAGCAGTGCAAACGTGGGGTTCGGAGCAGACCGCGGCGGATGGACAGTAGCACCCGTTTTTGCATATGAAGGAGTGAGAGCTGCCAGCGGTTATCTCAATGTCCTGGGTACAGTAGTTCGGGATTCAAGTGTTCTTATTGGAATCAAAGGATGAGCACGAAAACAAAACAATTCAGATGAAGGAGCAGTTACAGTGGCACTTGCCCAGGTGCTAATGCCCAACACTCAGCAGTCGCTCGCTTGTCTAATTCCCGCCCCCAAGTTCAAGTTTCCGCTTTCTGGTTAGACTGTGCAATTGTGGAATGAACAGAGCCGGCACGCTGCAGAGTCGGGGGCATGGGAGGGGAACTGAAAAGAAAGCGGAGGGTTAGACAGGCAGGAAGGGAAGTTCCAGGTGGAGGATTTGAAATAAAACTGGCTCCAAAGTCAATCCAAACTCAGGGCTGGGAGGGACCAAACGTTCTTCCCAGCTCCTGGGTGAAAGGAATTGGCAATCCAATTCCTAATGGCGGAGAAGCCGCCTCTCAACGAGCAGCTCTGTAAGGCTGTTTGATCACTGCCTCCTCAGAGCTCAGCGGTCACCAAGAGACGAAGCCCAGCGGCAGCCCTGGCCCCGCGGGTGTGGTGACGGGAGGAGGGCACTGCAGAAGAACCAAGCAGGGCTGCCCTCCGAAGGAGCTTCCCAACGGGGAGAGGTTAGTTCTAGAAACAGGAAGTTAGAAATCAGAAAGTCCCTTTTTCAGAAAACCTGAAACATTCCCTGGCCCCTGCCCGGGACCAGCTGTGCTAATGCAACGGGGCTGCTTTTGCCAGCCGTCGCTCCAGGAGGGGTTCGCCCGCACTGAACGGGGGGAAGGGAAAGGCTCTTTGCCAGCCGCTCATTAAGTCAATTAGCTGCCGGCAACCGAGTGAGGGCCTAGGCAGAAGAGGAAGCTATAATGTCGGTTGCCAAGCCCTGTGTGAAGGCCTGTCCAGTCTTGTTCTCCTTTAAAGTGCCCTATATTTATAGAATTTCTAAATAAATAGAAGAAGATATTAGATACCCATAGTTTAAGCTACTCCGAGTAACAGCCGTCTAAGCCGATAGCATTGTGCCGGTCCTTGGTGTAGGGGCACGTGCTGCCGTTGGGCAGGGCCCCGCAGGCCGCTGTTTTGGCCGCAATGCCGCAGTTCTTGAGGAGGTTGAAGCTGAAAGGGCTGATGGCGTCTTTAGGTGGAAAAGGCTTCATGGTGGAGAGGATAAGTGCCAGGCAGTCTGCAACGTCCTTGTTGGGGGCGCAAGCCAAGGCTGGGGTGTGACCTGGAACGAAGCCACGAGGCGGCGCTAGTGGAGCCGTCAAGCCGGCTGCACGCGTCAAAGGGGCCCTGGTACATTGTCGCATTAAACAGCAGGACAAGGCTCGCTGCTCCCCGCCCCCACCACAGCGTGGAGAGGAAGTATTGTCCAGCGATAGGGCATTTGCCTGGGACTTGCGGGAGGAGAGAGGTCAATGACACGCTCCACCACAGACTCCTTGGGAGACACCGCGGGCAAGTCACTTAGCTTCTCTGTGCCGCAGCTCCCCAGCGGGGATCCCTGCCCGGCCTCACAGGAGAGCACTCAGAGAAAGGCATTAAAAACTCTGGGGCACTCAGCTACCATGGCGACAGAGCCCATGACATGCAGGTAAACGGGCAGCACCTGAACCTGGAGCATTGCATGGGCAGCCCCTTTTTACTCTCCCCATCCCAGACTAGGCAACCGGGCCCAGTGCAGGAGTCTAACTGGAGCCTGCTGGTTTAGAAAAGGGGTGTTTGCTCACCCAGTTTCACCCCCTCCCCTTGGCAGGAGCCTTCAGACCTTGTGCAAAACCCGTCAACTATTTTCCTGGGCTGCTCTGGGCAGGGCCGCAGCAGGGTTAGTCATTTGTGGTCTCGGAGAAAGGCAACTGCTTAACAGGTTTTTTTTATTGTGTTTTAAACGTGTCCAGAACCGTGGATTCAATTTTTGCAACCAGGGCAATTTTTATTCCCTGAGCAGAGGAGCTAGGACTGGAGCGTGGGGCTTTATTTGAACACTGGGATCCCAGAAATTCACACGTTATTGCTTTGGGGCTCTGGCTGTTCTTGAGGGTTTTAGCAGTTGCTAAAACCAGGGCAGAATTTACGTGGGGGGAAAAACAAAAGCAACTGGGTCCTATTTGGCAGGCCCAGAAACCCTTCCTCTGGTAGCGGGAAGGATGCGCTGCGAATACTTTCAGGATCAGACTTGTCCAAGCAGAGAGAAAACCCACCGATCCCCCAATACGCAGATTCTACAGAACATGCGAATGAGGAAATAGCTTCTTTAGCCTTATCCCAGCTCTGAGCTTTCATGCCTGGCCCCAGCTGGCCAGGTGACCCAGAGGATGACACATGGGGCGAAGGCCACATTAATAACACCTGCTGCCCCACTGGAATGTGGAGCTTGGACGTGTCTTTGCCCGGCTACGGGGATCACGGCATTACCACCACAAGGGCTGCTCCCGCATCGCCGACAGCAAACTCAGTACGAGAGCAGAACAATGTTCAGTATGGGGGTGAGGAAATACTCCAAGGTCCAGGTGCCTGTCTGAGAACCCCAACCAGCCACCCCTGCCCAAAAAGATGCTACGTAGAGACTACGTTGTACCTGACCCCGCCCATCCGCCAGAGATCCCAGCTGTGAGGCATACGCACCTTCTTCATCCACAGCAAGTACAGTGGCACCTCTGCTGAGCAAGGCCTGGACAACAGAGGCCAGCCCGTTCCGAGCTGCAATATGGAGCGGCCTGCAGGCAACAGGGAAAGGGAACGCATTACTGAACCTGCCAGGGCAGACAACTCTGCTGCCTTTTCCATCTGGAACAGTCTCCCCGACGCACTTCCAATTCAGCGCAACCCTCGTCAGCGGCACACGGCTTCCTCTCCGCACTGGCGCACCCAGTGAGAGCTTTCTGATCGGCTGGGGAGGTGGTGAACTAGCTCTGGACTGGAGAGCAACACAAGCTCAACACACAGAAGGGCCCACAACTGAAGCTAGGACCTAGGGAAGGCTGACCCACGGGAGGATGCAGGGAGACAAAGGCACTCTGCAGAAATGTGGCCCATGGAGATTCGAAGTCCCAGCAGGCAATGCTCTGACCTTGCTGAGAACAGTCCAGGCACAGCGCATGCTGGGAATGGTCTTGGCGGGTCACACCTCCGTATGAAAGAGGCAGGTGGCTGTGATTTGTGGAACTCAGTGAAAGCCCTTGGACAGTTTCAAGACCGAGCAGCGGCTTACGGCCTAATCTCCCTCCCTTGAACTACCCGGACGCGAGAGGTTATTGCAAAGGACTGCAGGCTATGCAGACTGCAGACTGACAAACCCTAGGATATTCTCCAGGGCTAAGAGGGGGGAAAACATCCAGATCGCAAAGGGCTCTTTACTGTGTGTGAACGTGTGATTCTTCCCCCCTAGAACTGTGGCCCAGGGACTGCGCCTCCTCTTGGGCTCACCCACTATCTCCAACCCTTTACAGCCACCCGGCCAAAACAAAACCAAATCAAACCAAACCCCCCAACAGCCTTTCCCCCATTCATACCAGCTGGTCACATACTCACATCTGCAGAGCACTGTTAGTTGCATTGATAAGGCCAAGGTCTTGGGTTTCCCCCAGAATCAACAAGGCACACTTTTCATGACCCTGCAAATAAAACCGAACAGTTTAAAATTAAGGCGCATAAGGTGGGGAGGGAGAACCCAGGTGTCTCTGCAAATGGTGTTCTCACACCGCTCGTGCTTTGCAGAGGAACGGTCCCGTTTCAATACGCTTCCATGCTGACCCATGTTTGCACGGGGAAATGCACAGACTAGTGGGCTTTTCAATCTCTGTTCTCTACTCCCTCCTCCTACCCAATTTCTCTGTTCAGGGGTCTGAAAATAACCCCCGTTCTGTGTTACAAACTGTTCCCCTTTTTCGGTTTGTTTGTGTTCGACACACAGATTTGGAAGCTCCCATCCCCACCAGGTTTCAAATCCAGCTGATGGAGCTCTCAAACTCCCGCTTCGCTCATGTGCCAGTATCACCCCAGTGGGAAGGACCCAAAGCCCATCCAGGATGGGGTTGAACAGAACAATAAAGAACATCTGGGGCCCTAGCCACTTTTTTGCTGACTCCACACATTTCCCCCTCCACGTAGGCACGTGTGATTCCTGTTTTAAAGCGAAGGAGATTGAGGTAGAGAGAGTAAGGCTGGGCACCCACGTCTCTTTAAAATTCCATGCAATTTGGGCACCTTCAGCTCCTCTGAAAATCCAGGCTGAAATGACCTGCCCAAGGTTTCCCAGAGCCAGAGCGACAACTCAGGTGGGTTCCGCCTCGCAGTCTGGTACTCAGTTTCCCTAGACTCTGGCTCTCTCCCGCAGATCAAGGCAGACTTTGGCCCAACTGCGCACGTAAATCTGATTTTAAATTGATTTAGTTAAACTGGTGCCATTAAAGACTGGGTGGATGCTTATTTCCGTTTAAGCTGGGTTTAGGGCTTGTCTACACATGAAATTTATTCTGGAATAAGGTACGGTGTGAATTTAAAGCAGATTAACCATTCCTGATTATCTCGCTGTGTGGATGCTCTTATTCCGAAATAAAGTGCCTTATTCCAAATTAGCGTAATCCACTACCAAAGTGGATTAAACCTTATTTGTAATAAGGTACATTCATTCCAGAATAAGAGCGTCCCCACAAGGAGTTAATCAGGAATAACTCCCCTGTAGACAAACCCTTATTTCCGTTTAGGTTAAGTTGATTAAAAACAGATTTAAGATCAACCAAAATAAGCCACTGACATTCACACGAGCGAGTCCACACTGGCTTAATTCAACCTGTGCAAATGCCTGTGTAGACAAGGCCTGGGGGTGCAATCTCTTCTCGCCAGCAGGGCCCGGATTAGCACGCTCTGATGTTTTGAGGCTCACGGACTGAAGGTCTTGGTGATCGTGACTGTTTAAGAGAAGGGTCAATCCCATACCTTGCTGCAGGCCAGGTGAAGAGCCGTGTTCTTGTTGACGTCCAGCACAGTTAAATTTGCTTTCGCTCTATACAGCAGGAACTCTACAAGCAAGAGAGGCAAACGGCGTCAGGCCCACGCAGCCCGGACTCCCTTAGCTCAGGGATAAGGTAGCAGGAACAGCATGTCCGCTAGCTGCGGAACGGCACAGTACCCGACTGAGCGCGTGTGAATGGTTACGACACCCCAGCCTGCAACTGGCAGCCCAGAGCCTCCCACCCGACTGTCAATTCCATCCCGTCACCACGATTCCCTCGGAATTAAACGTTATTCTGAGTGGCGGGGAAGGATCTACCGGGGTGAACAAAAGGGAGTAGGTAGACGCAGGCCAAGGAAGTAAGCGCTGGATTGCTACGCACCGACGGCTGCGGTCTGCCCGTTCTCAGCAGCCATCATGAGAGGGGTCCTTCCCAACTGGTCAGTTGTGTCTACCTCAGCCTGGTGACGCAGCAGCAGCTGTAAACCGTGGATGTTGTCTGCAAAGGCAGCAGCGTGAAGGGGTGTCCTGGAAGGAGAGGGGAGGGCGTGAGGGGAGACCCCACCGCATCCGCACTAGCAAAACTCTACCGGACTCCATGGGGACACTCCAACTAAAGAAGCCTGGCTGAGGACCCCAGACAGATACATCACCCCAGTGATGGTCAACATTGGTGCCTTTCATTCCCAAGGACCCAGAAACACGTCAAAAACCTAAGCCCTAGTACTGAATGGTGATCAATTGCTCTCCATGACCACCCAGCAAAGGACAAGGAGGGTTTGTCTTAATTTCCAGGAGTCTCCCGCTGACTCGATGGTGCAGCCACAGCGGGGAGGTGAGGGGGGAGAGGAGGAGAGAGAGACACACAGCGTGGGGGGAGGGGGGGGAGGACACAGCAGGTGCGCACTGCCACTCTGTGACCATTTAGGACAGGAAGTAAAACCAAACGCTGTACGCTGTATGCAGCTGAGATCTCAGGGAATTAGATGTAGTTACCCAAGATGGAATTTGGGGCAAGTCTGACCCATACAGAGTGCCAGGGGACCCCCTCCTCTGATCACCCCAAGCTGCCAGGACCGTACTTTCACATCTGCTGTGACTGACAGCAGCACAGAGCCCCGGCACTACATCGGGGTCAGGAGTAACTCGGAGGGCAGAGCGTCGGCACCACTTCGTGGGTGCCTCGGGAGGTTTCCCAGTACGCACTTGGCTCAGTTACTGAGAGCCAATGGGATCAGAGCACAAAAGCAATCGAGCGGGAGCCTACGTCGGCCTTTGGCATCCCCCAGGCTCCACTGAATGCCGGGAGAGACGAGGCACGAGATTAAAAGACGCCGCTCACCTTCCTTTGGCATCTCTGCTATTAACAATCTTGGCACCCAATGCTTCCACCAGCATTTCAGCAGTGCCTTCCTGGCTGTTAATTCTGCAGGGGTGACAAGAAGGAAAATGAAAACCAAGGCTGGGCCGAGCTGTCAACGCGCCAGGCAATGGCTCAGCTCACTCCTTTGCTACCCCGGGCCAAAGAGCCGCAGGCAGGGGAAGGAAGATCACATGCCGTGGTGCAGCACTCCCCGCTGGCCAGCTGAATGGGCTCCAGGGTGATTGCCTGCTTAGACCAGCTGGCTATGAAGTGAATCAGTCTCTGAACCACCCCCATGCGGAGGGCTTGGCTCCAATGCACCCTCTAGTGGTTCACACTGACCCCACAGCCCCAGAGTCCGGTTACTGGATTCTGAGGCCAAGGCAGAATGGAGGGCATGGTAGAACGGTCAATCTCCGCAGCCCCACGGCGTTGCGAGCCCTTGGGATAACAAGGAGCTGGAGCCCAGCCTGTCTCTCCGAGAGCACACGTCCGTTCCTGCCCTGCCGTGCGCGCGCTCTCGCACTGTTCCAAACCAGGATGCAGAAGAAGCCGGCTCCGGGCTGGTGGCTACTTACACAGCACAGTGCAATGGAGTAAAGGGGTTTCCTTCCAGGTACACAAATGGATTGTGTTCAAGTAACAATTCAAGACAATCTTCATGTCCTGCAAAGAGGGAGAAAGGACGGGGAGCTGTGAGCTGAGCAGTATCGTGGCAATCACCTCTCACCCCTGGGAGACTGACACCGGGGGCATGGGACGGGACTTGAATGGCACAAACACCCCCCACCAGCCTTTAGCTCCTTCCAAGACCCAGGGAAGCCATCAGAGGGCGAAGCAGGAAGAAGTTTCCTGCAGTCTCCCGTGGCGTGAGATCAAGCCGGCCCGGTGCATTATTTAAAGGAGGGGAAGGCGAGCGAGCGCCATTCGTCTGAAACGTGAAGTCTTGGCAGCGGGATACCCGACTGGACACAAACCGCTTGGTGCAGTGTGACAAGGGGACAATGCCAGCTCTGCTAGCAGGGCAAACCCTGGGCTTCTCCTCTCGGCCAGAGAGAGATCAGTCCCCTTTCTTGTCTAACGGTAAAACCCTGCTGCATTTTCAGACATTTCGAAGACCTGGTCTACACTAGGTCAACCAAACTATGTTGCTGCGGAGCATGAGAAATTCACACCCCTGAGCAATGTAGGTCAGCCGACCTGGCCCCAGTGTAGACAGCCCAGTGTCTTCCATCGGCCTCGCTACCGCCTGTCGGGGAGGTGGGTTGACTACCCTCCTGGGGGTGTAGGTAGGGACTACACCGACGCGCTACCACGGTGGAACTGTAGCATTTCAAGTGTAGACAAGCCCTAATTCTGCCCCAGTCGTTGGCCTCTTGGCTGAGTTTGCCAACACGCAGGGGCCGGGGGACTCCACAAGGGGGTGGCCTGTGTGTCGCCGACGTCCCGGGTTTCAAACCCCGAACAGCCAGATGGCAACGACAGTCTGTCCCTCCCAGCCCAGAGGGGGGAGGCTCTGTCAGCCTCAGCGTCTTATTTGCAGTAGGGCCCCCAGACCACCACAGCGTTCTCCGCACGGCCTCGTTAGTGCTGAGCGAGGAAGGGCTGTTTTAGTTGAGCTCTCTCTTGGTCTGCAATGGGTGTAAAGCAGAGAGGATGGAGGGGTGTCATGGCTCTTACCGCTGTACGAAGCCCAGTGCATCGGCGAGTAGCCGCTGTAATCGACCACGGAGTCCAGAGGGTCAGTAGAGAGCGCTGCCTGCAGCAAGGTCCTCAGGATTTCTGAATGCCCACACGCCGACGCAAAATGGATCGGGGTTCGACCCTTGAAATCCCGACACAATACAAAGGCATCGTGGTCCAGCAGGGCTCCCAGGCAGTCCTCACACCCCGTCACCGCCTGTGCCGGGTAAAGAACACCACGGCTGTGAAGTGGTGTCTCCAGCCCAGCGGGAAACCGCTCCACACGCCAAGCGCAGGCAGGGTTACAGCGAACGTGGCTGGATTTGCACAGGAACAGCAAAAGGCACCGCGCGGAATTTCAACTCCTGGCTCCACAGCTCGGGGGCGCTAGAGTTTCTCCAAGGAAAAGGTTGCTGGAATTTTTTTAAATATTGTCCCTTTGCCTCGTTCTTAGAGGCAGCTGAACGGTTTTGGCTCAAATTTGCCCCAAAAAGTCAGCCTGAGGCAGACGCCTGGCATGCGAAATTTCAGCCCAAATGGTCGAAGTTGGGCAATGTTATAAGTAACTGAAAACAGGGTCTTATAATGGAGAGTGTTGGTGCCACCAGCCCTTCCTAGAACAAAGCGACTTGCAGGAAACCCAGTGAGAGAAATCCCCGGCCCTGCACCGAGCTCCGTCACGCTCACTCACCCCTCGATGCAGCGCAGTCCTGCCTCTCCTGTCCGCTGCATCTGTTGTGGATCCCTTCTCCAGCAAGAGATGGACGCAGTCGACGTGGCCGTTCATGATCGCCAGCATCAGTGGGGTTCTGCGGGGCGATTGGGGGAGCACAGGAGAAGGATGTTGGCTTGGGAAGGGCAGTGAACATTTGCAAGTTTAAATCCCTATTTTACAGGTCTCCTGGGATCTATCCCAGCTCTGGGAGGTCAGTGCTGTCTAGGGGTGAGAGCGAAGGGGGGCTGGGAGTCAGGACTCCTGGGTTCTACCCAGCGCTGTTCTAGGGTGACAGCAGGAAAGGCAGGGCTTGGAGCAAGAGGATTGGGAGTCAGGGAGTCCTGAGCTTTATTCCCAGCGCTGCCTCTGATTTGCTGCATGACCTTGCAGGAGTCCTTTTCCTTGCCTCAGTTTCCCCTTTCTGTAAGATAGGCTGGGGGGTGTAGGGAGGTTTAATTCTTTGCAAGCGCTTTGGGAAGATCCTCAGGGGACCATCGCTGAGCAGCCGTTTGGCATGTCACGCACTGCTCTGGGGCAGGAAGGATCTCCTCATGCAGACAACGGATATTACTGAGAAACCAGAATTGACTCACTGGCCATGGATGTCCATAACGTCGGTGATATCCGCCCTCTCCCCGTTGTCGATCAGAAGGTGTAGGGAATCTGTGTTCCCGTAGGCAGCTGGGAGAGAGACACAAGGGAGGGAGGAGTTACAGAGACAGACACGGTGTTACTGGCCACGGGGAAGCAGTAGACGGGAAGGGCCTTGATTTTAAGTAGGGCTTTTGACACAGTCCCGCATGACACTCTCATAAGCAGACCACGGAGATGTGGTCTAACTGAAACCACGATAACGTGGGTGCACAACCACTTGAAACACTGGAGTCAGAGAGCAGTTATCAATGGTTCACTGTCCAACTAGAAAGGCATCTCTAGTGGGTTCCCATGACGGTTAGTCCTGGTCAGGTACTAGACAATATTTTCATTAATGACTTAGACAACAGAGTGGAGAATATGCTTACAACATTTCTGGGGGACACCAAGCTGGGAGGGATTGGAAGCACTTTGGTGGACAGGATTAGAATTCAAAACGACTGATAAATTGGAGAATTTGTCTGAAATCAACAAGATGAAATTCAATAAAGACAAGGGGCAAAGTATTACACTTGGGAAGGAACAATCAGTCGCACACATACAAAATGGGAAATGATTGCCTAGGAAGGAGCGCGGTGGAAAAATACCAGGGGGTTAGAGTGGATCACAAATTGAATACGAGTCAACAATGTGATGCAACTGAGAAAAAAAGACTAATCTCTTCTAGGGTGTATTAACAGGAGTGTCTTAGGTCAGACACAGGAGATAACTGTCCTGCTCTGCTCGGCACTGCTGAGGTCTCAGCTGTACTGTCCCCCGCTCTGGGCACCACACACTAAGAAAGATGTGGACAAGCTAGAGAGAGTCCAGAGGAGAGCAACAAAAATGATTTAAGATTTAGAAAACCAGCTCCACGAGGAAAGGTTAAAACTGGGGATGTTTAGCTCTGAGAAAAGACGACGGAGGGTAAGTCTACACAACAGCGCTGCACCGATGCAGTGTGTCTGGGGAAGACACACTCTGCTGACAGGAGAGTGCTCTCCCATTGGCACGATCATTCCACTTCGTCGAGAAGCGTGAGCTATGTCGGTGGAGAGCGTCTCTGCCGCTGTGGACAGCGTGAAACTTGCGTCGCTCAGGGGGGCTTTTTCCTGCCCCGGAGTGATGCAAGTTAGAGCCTTTGAGAGAACCTGTTAACAGTCTACAAATATGCTGAGGGCTGTTCTAACGAGGATGGTGATCAATTGTTGTCCATGTCCACTGGAGGTAGGACAAGAAGCAATGGGCTTCATCTGCAGCAAGGGAGATTTAGGTTAGACCAGGGGTCGGCAACCTTTCAGAAGTGCTGTGCCGAGTCTTCATTTATTCACTCTGATTTAAGGTTTCGCGTGCCAGTCATACATGTTAACGTTTTTAGAAGGTCTTTCTATAAGTCTATAATATATAACTAAACTATTGTTGTATGTAAAGTAAATAAGGTGTTTAAAATGTTTAAGAAGCTTCATTTAAAATTAAATTAAAACGCAGACCCCCTCGGACCGGCGGCCAGGACCTGGGCAGTGTGAGTGCCACTGAAAATCAGCTCGTGCGCCGCCTTCGGCATGCGTGCCATAGGTTGCCTACCCCTGGGTGAGACGTTAGGAAAACCTTTCGAACTCGAAGGGGAGTTAAGCTCTGGAACAGATCAGGGGAGATGGTGAAATCTGTATCACTGGGGCGGTTTTAAGCACGGGTGGGGGACACAGCGGTCAGGGCAGGTCTAGATGTGCTTGGTGCTGCCTCAGCGCAGGGGGCTGGACTTTATGGCCTCTCGAAGTCCCTTCCAGCCCAACATTTCTATGACTCTATGATGCTATAGTTCAGGCTTTTGCCACATCTTCCTCTTTTGTAAGGCCCAGGTACTCCTGTAGCAGGTAACTGGTCTCAGGACCCTGCTCCTGCTTGAAGGGGCCAGTCACCCTGCAACATCCCCTTTCATGACCTCAAAAGGAGCCATGTTAAGTCACCCCGAGCCAAGCAGGCTGTCTGCAGCCCCATTGTGGGTCAGGCAGGGGGAGGCCTGGGCTCTGAAGGGCTGACTGCAGCAAAGAACCCTGCAATGAGATTTGTGGTGCCCGATCCACTGACCAACCCAGCAGAGGTGCCTTTCCACTCCCACCTGCAGCATGGAGCGGCGTCCACTTCTTCTTCTTCTCCTTCACAAGGGCGGAAGCACCGTGGCTGGTGAGCACCTCCACGCACTCCGTGGAGCCCCTCTCCGTGGCAAGGTACAGCGCCGTCCGCCCTTTGTGGTCCCGCACGTCAAGGTTCACGAGGGTTTCGGCAAGTGTCTTTAGGGCTTCACAGTGACCGTTATAGGCCTGCAGGCAACACAGAGCACGTCCCCTTAGGAAAGGAGCAGGACACACGCTGTCCAGGAGGAAGGGGCAGTAACAATTCTCTACCACCGTTATAATGAAAGCTCTCTCAATACCATGCCGACCACGCTCCCCCTTCCGCCCCCCTGGCCGGTGCCTGCGGAACTGCCAAGGTGCACGCACTGGAAGGGACAGCGTGAAACACCCCATTTTCCTCCTGCTGCTGTCCAGATTACTTATACCTCCCCCTCTGGCCCCAGCGACTGGCACAGGAGCGTACGACTGTCCGGCTGACGCGTGCCCTTGTTTCCCTCGCGCGTAACTTGTCCGCTGCTGCTGTGTAAATGCCACAAGTTACTAATTCGAAACAGGCTATACTCGTTTGAAAACGATCAAAACGAATTCGTCCTGACAGCATGATTTATTGGGCTCAATACAGGGATAATGGGGTTAATTTCTCCGGCCCGTGGGGGCCAGACTAGATGATCTAATGGTCTCTTCTGGCCTGAAGATCTGAATCTTTACAAAGAAACCTTGAAAAATTAGCCAAGCTTAAAAAAAGTGAGACATTGCCCAGCTGCCTACAAGGCAATGGAGAAGGGGCTACAACCTGCTGCAAACTCCCCTCCCTCCGTGTCTCGGGCAGCACAGAGCACAATACCTGTGCTTAACCACGGGACAGCAGCCACTGTTTCGGAGCCGGACACCCCACCATCAGGCAGTGAGGTTAGCCCTATTGCGCACATGGCGTCGCTGGAAGCAAAGCCAACCTGGTTTCTTCACCAGCGATGTCAGGACAGCGTAGCCTTTAGATTAATTTGGAGTGCAAAATGCACGTCACTAGGCACAGGTGCCGTCTTTGGTGGCTACTCGGAGATGAATAGAGAGGATGATTGGTGTGACTCACAGGGACTTTAGGAGTTTTATTAACACCGCAATCAGTGTGAGCTTAAACACAGACTAGGAAACATGACAAGAACACCGGCAGACGCTGCGTCACGTCCACTCACCAACCCCCGGGCCGGCGGGTTCCCCTGAAGGTGAGATGAAGTGTGAAGCTTGTCACCACCCTGCCATCCTGAGATCCCACTGAGGGGCCGGTTTGAGTCTCTCTTTAGGCCCCTGTTCTCTACACCCACCTATGCCCGAGACGATATTTGATTAAGTCTTGGCCTCTTGTCCATATCTGCCATTCCTTCTCCCCAGTTTGGGGATTGTAAGGCTTTGTGGAGACAGACGTTGTCTATACAGTGCAGTTAACGAGTCTGGCTAAATAAAACCTTTACAGCACAAGACAGCTATTTGCTAGAGCTTCGAACCCAAGGTTACTTACTCATTCCAGCTTCTCTTAGGCATAACGTAGCCTTATGCTACCACTAGGCCTCAAATACCAGGCTGCAGGCTCACTACCAAGCCTATTTTCAAATAATCTTTCCGTTGCTTTACATGAGAGCTTTAGTTTCATGTGCGCTAATTCAGCCGGCATCTGAACTCTGTCTAAGATACAGAGTGCGTATTTTCCTGATCACATGAGCTCAGGTCATGGGTCAAAGGTCAACAGTAAACAAACTTACAGCTAAGTGCAAAGGGCTGACTGGGATGGTGCTTTCCACGTCCTCCAGGCAGTTAAAAGACATTTCCAGGAGCTGCAACAAAACAAGCCACGGTAAACTCTTCAGGTTGTACTGCTTCTCCGTTCTGGCCACCACGGGCAACGCCACCAGCGTGCTGTGCGGCACATCTGGGCTGTTGGAAACCAGCCCCCGACTGCACCAAAGACACATGCTTGGAACCCGGAATGGAGAAATTCCTTTCACGGGGTAGATCTCCCCACTGCTTTCACTAAAGAGATCGGGATCGAGTGCAGAAGACATTTGAGTCCGATTCCTTTTATCTGGGCACTTGCCCCGTGCATCTCACCCGTTGGTGCACCCCAAATGGACTGCTTCATCACGGGTGTTTAAAAATGGCCTCACTGCTCTTCCCAACAGGAAGATGGCTTCCATGTACCCTGGAAGGGAGCAGTCTTCCAGGAGAGCACCTCCATGCGTTTCTGAGACGCGCAGCACCCCAGTGCCCGTCGCTCATGGCCTGCGGCTCCTCGGCTGAGGTTACCATCCTGTCTTTGGGAGCTGGCCTGAGATCCGGGCACGTCTGAGTGCACCAGTCACCAAGTCTCTCTGCTCCCATCTCATCTTTTTCGGGGAACGGGCAAGCTGGCAAGCACCGGCTTCCCCTCCTCAGCCAGATCCGAGGAGGGGGACTAGGAGCCCTACACCATAATCCCAGTTCCTTCCTCCCTCGTCACACAGCTCTGCCCCCCACACTTTCGGCTGCAGCACTCGGCCCTGGCCACTCCCCGGAAGACTTCTGCCATACTCCTAGATTCGGCTGGGGAGGCTGAGCAGAAACTTCCCCCCCTACTTCTTCCTGGGAGCACTCCTCATTCGAGTCGCCTGTAAGCCAAAGGGCACCAGGCAGCTTCGACTGCCCCCCCGGCCTGCTTACCAACTCGAGGTTCTGTCTGTTGCCGTAGGCAGCTGCATAGTGGACAGCGGTGTATCCCTGCTTGTCCCGGAGCGACGCGTCCGCACCGTTATCCAGTAAGAACTCTAAACAACTGCAAGGGGCACAGGGGAGAGGCGGTGGTCAGACACGCATTCCCACGGACGCGCCCGCCGCTCTAATCAGCCATCACAGATCCTCGCTGCCCAGCACACGGGCTGCGAAAAGGACTCGGTGTCCCCCCTGAAATTCCCGCTAAAGGCAACGAGAGCGCCGTGCCCCGGTACCCCAGCTAGTGAGGACTGGATCTGCCTCAAGGCACTTTTGAGCCAAGGGCAGATCCTTATTAAAAGTCAGTCACTCCACTGCCTGCTGGAGACGCCCCAGCGTGCCGGCTCGGAGGGTGGGGAAAGGGGGAAATGGCGGGGTTCCACCAGTGCCATGGGAGACGGGACAGACGACAAACGTTATCCCCGAGCAGGGGGTTGAGATCGGCCACTCACAAGAATGCCTCCTTCACTCTGGACTCCTTCAGTGGCTCCTCGTCAGTGTCATGGCTGTTTCCTGAATGAGTCTCCGCTCTGAAAGATTGCAAGCCCGCGTCAGCCGGCTGAGACAAAACGGGGAAGCTGGAGAGACCCCAGCCAGCTCGCAAACGCCCGGACGCTTTCCGCTCTTGGAAAGCCAGGTCCAGACCCACTCCCTGCAGCAGCAGCCGCACAGCCCTGGAACAGCCTCCGTTCCGCCCCCGCCCCGCCGCACTAGGGTGAACGTCGGTTCTTTTGGACCCGTTTCCCGCTGCCTTCGTAGCGGAAGAGCATTGTGCGCCACGTGGGCAGGGCAGCATAAGCAGGGGGCTTTGTTCTTCATCAGTGATTTGTTTCTACCATCTTCGGACCAAGAGCTGAGAAAACCCTAAGGAAGCCGCCTCCTCCTCAGCGGCAAGTCGGCATTATCCCTATTTCCCACGCCTAGAGGGGAGGGGACTTGCCAACATCACCCAGCAGAGCTGGGAGCAGACCCCAGGAGTCCAGGCACTGGCCTATCCTTCCTTTCCCTTACAATGCTCCTCCTCTTTAGAAGCCACCAGGCACCACCTCCCACCAGGGAGCTGCCGGGTACCCGCTCCAATCAGGAAGTACCACGGACCAGCCTGCTTAGGGCCCTGCCCTGTGGGCTCCAGCAGCAGCTGCTATGGGAGGCAGGTCCCTCGGGGCTTTCCTACCTCCGGTACGTGTCCGAAGCGGCAGCATAATGTAAGGGAGTGCAGCCTTTACAGTCCGTCTCGTTAATACTGGCTCCGGTGGTGACCAGCGTCACCGTACACTGATAGCTGCCATTGGCAGCCGCGTAGTGCAGTGGAGTCCTGGGGAGGAGAGCAGAAAACGGGGTGAGGAACGCCCGCCGCCATGCAGAGCGGCTGCAAACCCAAGGAGACGGCAGCCTCACAACGCAGAGACAGCGGCAGCCAGGCCCAAGTGACACCCACGCACGGCACAGCAATATCCAACCCCCCACCGGCGACACGGCTCCCCCTTGGGGCAGCAGCAACTCTCCGAGAAGCAGAGCTGGGCTCCCACGGGGGGGGGAGGAGGGGACACTGATATGGGTGACTTCTGCTCTGCGAGCACCTTCAGGGCAGGACGAGCCCCTGCCAACCCACTCAGGCCCGCCGATCTTCCCAGCCACAGGGGCTCACCCCCTAACGCCCAGCTCTCTGTCCCCCGGCCCCGAGGGCGCGATTGTTCACAGAAAGCGTCTCTCTGCCCCTTCACACGGGTGTGCCGCCATCAGTACTTACCTTCCAAATTTATCTCTCCTCCTCAAGTCAGCACCGCTGCTCAACAGCAAATTAAGACATTCAACGTTCCTGGAGAGGGAACAGAGGGGAAACTCGCTGAGAGGGGCTGGTGGAACCTGAACGCCGTCCCTCTTCCGGTCAGCGCTGGCTCTCTGGGACCGCTCTGCCTAACACGTGGCCTGCGCCTGCCTGCAGCCCTTTGTCACATGTGTAAGACAAGAGAGTACAATCGAGCGCCCTGCCCGTCCCCACTGGCACGGTGCCTAGACAACCACTGCACTGGGGGCTGCCCGTATCACTAGCAACTCTCCAGGAACACGCTTGTGCCTCCATTTCTCTCTTCCTGCTGCTCTGCAGCAACTGGGAATCGTATCTAGGTATTCGCAACCTGGCTGGACGGGTAATAAAACTCTCGATGTCCCCGTGACAGGGCGAAAGCAGCTGCAGTCGCCTCCCCCTAGAGGGCTGCCGGTGAGCCCGGCGTGATGCCCGGCCATGCCCGGGGCAGGGACTCACCCTCCCGAAGCAGCAGCATGGAGGCACGTCCTCCCAAGGTTGTCAGGCGTGTTGATATCGAAACCCGCGGACAGCACGTGCTCGTTGCTCAGTGAGGAGACGATGCTGTACAGCTGACCTGTGGGGCAGGAGGAGACGGGTCAGGCGAGGACTCGCCAGGCCCCCCCAGCCCAGGCTACCCTCCCCCCAAGCCACCCCAGGCTTTGCTCACCTGAGGAAAGTAGCTTACGACAACAGTCTGAAAATCCAAAGAGAACAGCTAAGTGCAGAGGGAACATGTCGTGGATTCCACGCCTGCCAACAGGGAGAGAGGGCAGATAGGAAAGGACCAGTCACAGCTCGCTGCCCTCTGAAGCCCTAGCCCCAGCAGCAGACAGTCCTTCCTCCGGTCCCCCTGACGTGGGGGTCTCCTGATGGTGGAGAAGGAATCCTACCCCATGCCAGCCTGCAGGCTCTCCCATCAGCCCTCCCTACCCTCAGCAAATTTCCATCCGCACCGCAGCAGAGCCTGAAACTAGACAGGCCATGGGATGACCTAGTCTAACGCAGGCCGTTCAGGTGCACCCACAGAGCCCTCTATCAAGGCCACCCACTATAGTTAGATCAAACATTTCAGTCCTCAGGAAAATCAACCAGTGTCTCCAGTTCTCTGCCTGTGGCACGAAGGGCCCCCCCGCCCAAGGCCCGTAGGGGAGACATGAGCGATGATCCAGCAAGCGAGCCGGGCGCCATGCTGCAGAGGAAGGCGAAAATGCCCCAAAGCCCCCGCCAATCTGACCTAGGGGGGAATTGCTCCCCTGCCCCAAATCTGGAGATCGGTTTGACCCGGGCACATGAGCCGGAGCCGGCAGCTAAGAAGGCTTCTCCGCTCTGCCTCTGAGCACGGGTCTAACCGGTCCCGTCTCCGGCCGTGGAGAATCGCTGATGCTTCAGAGAAAGGCAAAAAAACCCAGAATCCCTCACATCAATTGCACATCAGGGGGAAAACTGTCTCCCACTGGATGAGCCCGCCCCCCGCTCTCTGCCCGAGTGCACCTCCCGCATCGCCACGCCCCAGCGAGAAGGGGGTTCATCCTGGAGGCCTCCTCACCTTGCAGTGTCAGCACCATTCGTCATCAAAGTACTAATTAGCAGCTCGTGGCCGTATCTAGCAGCAACATGGAGGGGGGTATTGCCATATTTGTCAGCACAGTCTATCTCGCTGCCTAGAAAAGAGAGCAAGAAGCGGCCGGCTTGGTGGGGAATTTCTGGCCCAGGCAGCCCAAGACCTGCTCCCCCTCGTTCCCCGCGGAGGGCTGCGGTGCATTGCACCGAGACAGCGTCACACAGCCGTTCTCCAGGCAGAAGGCCCAACCTAACTGCTACCGTAACCCACGGATGAGTGTGTGTGACAGCCCTCCTCCCCGCTCCCCACACACCTCCCAGGCCTGATCTGCAAAGCGTCTGAGTGCGTCGCAGCCCCAGCTATGGAGCCCGGGCTCTTTATGCAGCTCCTGCGTTTGGCTCGGGCGGTCCCCGGTTCAGCCCTGGCCGCAGCAGCCAAGACAGCGGCTGGCACTGGACTCAGAGGACGATTGTCTCTGGTGGCAGAATCTAGCAGCGCTGACACTCTTTGGCGCTGAGCTTCCATGCGGCTGGAATTCCAGCTTGGTGCTCCACGAGAGCTAAGATCCAGACCTAACACGCGTCTCCCTGTGAGGGGTGGCTGTTCAGCTGGGGAACGGAGCTGATTTTGGGGTGGGGGGAGGCAGGGCACTTCATTCCCCTGGCAGACGCTATTAAACACTGAAACAAGGAAAGAGGGACGGGGTGCCCGGGAGGCACCGGTTGGTGAGAGAGCTAGAGTGAAATGCCCGGTAGGAGAAGAACATTAGCTCAGCGTCCAGAGAGCCACTTACCGTTCTGTATGAGGATCTGAGACCGCGTAAACCGTCCGTGAATGGCAGCCATATGCAAAGGGCTCTTCCCTTCCTTACTCTAAAGAGAGAGAGAGAGAGGGGAACTAGCCAGCTGGAGACACTGTCCCCGAGCTCGGCGATCGAGGGGTGAAAGTCCCGTCCGTGCCTGGAAGATCCCGTGTGTCTGGGTTCCGAACTCCATCCTTCCTCCCCACACCCCCCTGAGTTCATCCCACCTGCCGCCCCTGCATGTCTCGTGCACGTGGTCCGGCCCCGGCCGGCGTACCTGAAAGTTCACGTCGGCTCCATTGTTCACAAGGAGCTCCAGGCAAAGGGCCCCGTTGGTGGAGACGGCAGCAAAGTGCAGAGGGGTGAAGCCCTTCTCGTTGGGCTGATTGACGTTGGCGCCGTAGTTGACCAGCTCATTGGCCACGGCGTCCTGGCCCATGTAACAGGCGATGTGAAGTGCAGTGTTCCCAAGGCAATTGGGTTCATCGATCTGCGGGAACGAACAGAGCCAAGAGCCTTCAGGGGATCTCGGTCAAGGATGGGCTGGGACTGGCCAAGAAAGGGGGGGGGAGGAGAGCCCATTCTACCGAGAACCAGACGCCATCAATCCCTGATCTCCTCCTCCACACATTCCCCTCAGTGCCTGGGGACCCCCTCAAGTCATCACAGGAAACAGAAGCAAACGCTGACTGCTCAGCACAGGAGACGAAGAAAAGTCCCAAATCCAACTGAAACAAGAGCCAAACACTGTTAACTCCAGGGGGAATTTGGGTAGGACAATGGCATTAACTCCCCTAACTCTTGGGGAAAGCACTCGGGGATCTTTAAAAACCATAAGTGACCAGGGCCTCAGTTTTCCCTCTCTAGCGTCAAGTCCAGCAGCATCCCGCTGGGATCCGTGCAGCCCCAGTGGGTGAGAATGCCCACTCACCCCCCCACGACAGCCAGAGAGTTTCCAGCACCCCCACGGATTTCACCCATCCAAGGATTAAGACCGCACGCTCTCCCAGGACATCTCCCAGCATCTGCCTACACCCAGTGCCTTCCTTAGAGTCCGCAGAGCAAGCGGAGCCCTGGTCCCGCAATGGCACTGGGACCCGCCATCAACGAATGGCCACATTCGTTTGCCAAGCCGCCACTGGCCTCACCTCGACTCCCAGCCTCAGCAGGTGTTTCACAACCTCGACCTGGCCACTGGCTGCCGCGGTGTGGAGCAAGGTGTAACCCTTCTTATCCTTGCACATGACGTCAGCTCCCCGGGCCACCAGCAGCTTCAGAACTTCCAAATGCCCTGTGCAAAGGAAACAGGAACTCAGGGCTGCAGCACCTCTGCGGCCGGTGAGTCCTGAGCACGGCGGCGATGGGGGCTTCAGGGTCGATACGCGGCCACCAGACACAGGACTGGGACCCGCCATCGCGTTCCACGGAACAGCCATCTGGGCGGCCCAGAGGGGGAACGATTCCCCGCCCCCCAGCCGTGCCATGAAGCTTGCTAACAAGGCGATTCAGATAGAAATGTCTTAGTTTGACTTCACTTGCTCCACATGGGATGGTCAGGGGCTTGGATACGTGGGTCAAGAGTTTTGTCTAGCCTCCGTATCCTCCACTGAAATGCTGTAACTCCCTGCAGTTCAATCCTCCTGTCCCTTTGACACCAACACCAGCAGTGGAGGGGACCTGCTTTTCCCCGGCTGCGCAGCGGTGGCATATTAGCGCTGTCCCCCGGTGCAGCGCCCTGTCACTGGCCACGGCCTGCTAATGCCAGCAGGACTTGGGCCTGACAGCAGTAAGAAGTGGCACGAGGCTGCCCCTTGGCTGTCACTGCCCAGACTTTGCTCCCCCATAAGTTAGCGGGGAGAGAAGAGGCTGTATGTCATAGGGCGTACCTGCCCTGTAGCACCCCCTCCCTCAGTTTCCCATCACCCCCTCTGGGCTGCCTTTCATGGATAGAGCCTTTATGCCCAGGCTGCTTCCCTGGGGTCCTCCCAGCCCCTAATTTAGGGCCTTCCCCACCAACCTGAGTTCTCTGCCATCACCTGACCCCAGGGAGCCCTGCTCCTGAGGCCGGGAGGTAGCTACCTGTGGCACAAGCGGGCTGAGCGATCCGGGCTGGCTGGCCCCCAGCCTCCTGGCCTTTGCGGGGCAGGCCTCCCCATTACACCTTCATAATGTGCTTTTGCGTACGAAAGGTGCCACGCGCCCTCCCAAGTCCAGTGTCTCCCCCACCCCCTTGCAGCCACAGGCTGATGGGAGAGTCCAGAAAAGGGTTCTCCTCCCACCCTGCCTGCCAGATCGCTGCTGGCTCTGTCCCTTCTCCTCCAACACGGCCAGCCACGCGATGCCAGGCCCGGGACAAGAGAGATCTGGAGCCCTGGCTGCCGAACGAAGATCACACGGGAGTCAGGCCCACGTGCTGAATGACACCCGAAGAGCTCACAGCTGCAGGGGGAGGGGACGGTTTTGAGGTTCTATGTGCAGAACTGGTGAGACTGGGGGGAAGGGGAGAACACCCACGGCGGTGTGCCCCCCCCCCCCGACTCACTGCCTGTGCCACTAGCTGTATCCGCAGGGGAGTCCCAAACGGGGACGCTGGGAAGTACCTGTATCAGAACAAGGCCAGCTAACAAAGGGACAGACAGGCAAGGCACGAGGGAGACGTACCTAGGAAGGCTGCCCAGTGGATGGGCTGACGCTCCTTCTTGTCACACGTGCTCAGGCTGGCCCCCTTGTTTAAGAGCAAGTTCACTATCTGGAGGTGAGAGGAAGCAGTCAGAGGAACGGCTCCCACCAAATTCCGCCAACCCCGTCCCGGCACACACGAGAGCCTCGCGCCTCCTGCAGCCCCTGGAGCGATGGGGCCCAGCTGGCCTCCAGGCACTGCCACAATTTAAACGTTTCCTAGCAGCCTGGCTGGCTGACCCTGGCCGGCCGGGGGTGCGGACGGAGGTCAGTCAGACCAGAGAGGGCTCTCTCCAGACAGGCGAGCTGGTTCAGAGGGCAGGAAACAGATGCTGCGTGTTGGGTGTCCATGGTAGATGATTTCTCTCCCTGCCCACCCCCAGCTCCTCACTGCCCCGACTGAGGATCTTGCACATGGAGCGCATGCATCTAAGGACGAAGCACTTTCCCCCCTCTAGCCGGCAGCTTAGCAATGCTTCGGGGCTCCCCCTCTCTGTATCCTGGGAACGCCTCCAGGCTCTGATCAGCTGCAGGGCCCCATTGTGCCAGGCGCTGCGCGCACAGCATGGAATACAGCCCCTGCTCCAAAGAAATCCCAAGCCAAAAGGCGGACAGACTGCTGCAGGCAAACAAAGCAACTTGGCCAGAGTCCCGAGCCTGTCGTTCACCGCGTCATTTCCATGTAGTCCCTTCCCTCGAGAGATCACCCTCGCTTCACAGACAGGGAAGCCGAGATGCCAAGGTCACAGAACCAGACTGAGAACCCCCAAGTCCCGAGCGCCTCCTCCCTCCGGACCACCCGCCCGCACCCCCTCAGGGAGGAACACGCAGGTGCGGGCCGCTCACCTCGATGTGGCCGCTGTGCACGGCGTGGTGCAGCGCCGTGCGGCCCGTGCGATCTGCCACGTTCACACTGCTCAGCAGGGGGATGATGGCCTCTGCGCACTTGGTGGCGCACTTGGCAGCGGCGACGTGGAGCGGCGTTTGCCAGTACTTATCGCGGGCGTTGACGTCCGCCGAGTGCTTCAGGAGGAGGTTAAGTGCCTTCTGCCAGGACAGAGAAAGGGTGGCTGTACCCCACGCCGGTGGGGGCAGACAAAGCCTCAGGAGCTAAGCAGCACCATTCGGTCTTGAAATTAAACCAAGCAGCCAGGGGTGAAGGGGCAGGTTCATCACTAGCAACGCGTCTGGTTACCCTACCCGCCTCTTAGATCGGTAACGGCAGCCCACTGCTCGCCCAGGGACTACAACTCCCAGAATGCAATGCTTCACCTTGAGCCAAGCTGCTGGATATCGGAGCTGGTGTGGGAAGGCTGCGATTTGGTTGGGTTTGCACACTGCACTCATCACCACGGCTGCCACATTGGGCAGCTCCTTGCCCGTCCTCTTCCCCTTTCAATGCCGCCCTGCCGAGACGCAGCCTGCTGCAGAAGGGTGGAGTGTCGGGGAGTGAGACTGGCCCTCCAAAAGGCCTGGCGGCGTTTTAAAATGGGTGTAACGATCACAGGATGGTACAAAACCCTAGTGCAGACAGGGCACGCTGTAGCTTAATACGCGTTACCCGCTGACACCCGGTAACGAGCCCTGTCTCCACAACGATGTTAAGTGTGCTGGCTATCACACCCCTGTTTTCCTGGGGCCGAAGCAGCGGAGCAGCCTACGATGGGCTCATCTCTGGGGCGAAAACACCTCCAAAAACACTGCCCTGACCCTTCAGCCCAATCGCGCCTGCCCAGAAGCAGCCTGGGACCGGAAGGGCTGGGAGTCAAGGTTTGCCCTTCGGGACCGGGGTGCTAGCTGGCAGAGTTGGCTGGGGCAGCGGGCGCCGTACCAGGCACTAGCTAGCGATACTCGTATTAGTCCATTTCATTGCATGATTTTTCTTTTTTAAAACCACTGAAATCTAGACAGAGCCGCGAGCAGTCGCCGACGATAGCCAAGATCCCACAAACAGAACACTGAGGGGCCCCAGGCTGGGGTCTTCAAAGGCCCCTGCCAGATGGACTTTCAATGGGTGCTGGGCGCCTAAGTCCCTTTGGCTTACCAGGACATCTGAGCCTTACCCTGTGGGCAGCTGGGCCTTCACAAGACTGCGCCTATCTCTCCCTAGAGTGCCTCCTACTGGTCAGTGACAAGCCTCAAAGGGAGGTTAACTTATTGTCACTAAGCCGTTCCAGTAAGAGGAAAGGATGCTGCCCCTGACCCAAAGCCCCTGCTGAGAAAGGAAGAGGTACGTCCTTGGAAAAACAACTCGGACCGCTGGCTAAACCACTGAACCGACCTACTGGAGCCAGACAGCGGGGCAACGTGTGAACGACCGAGGCCCTGAAATCAGGCAGGGAAGCTACAAAATGAGATGCTTTTTAAAGCTTCATTCTCCAGCCAAGCCCCTCGGGGATCTGACGCTAGCTACATCCGCCTTCATGCAGGGAGCAGCTGGCACTGTTCCTCTAGAGACCCCCTCTGCCCACCACAAACCGTTCCACTTCAGCTTTGCTTTTCCAAACCGTGAGCATGCAAGAGTGATGCCTCCAGAACGGAGAGCGCGTTCCTCCTCAGCAGGGAACAGCACAGACTTCCCCATGCCTCCGACTCCAACCCGAGTCCCTGGCCCTGACGAGATCCCCTCGTTCTTCCTCACCCCGGGGGCTGGCGGCTTGCAGGAGACTTGGGAACATGCAGACGGAGCATGCGTCCCAGAATGCTGCTTTGTGCCCTCACATGGGCATTGGCCAGGAAAGAACACTCCTTTGCCTTGGGCCTTTCATGGTGGAATCGTGCTGGGGGGCTCAGGGTGGGCCATGGACTGTCTAGGTGGCAGGTTCGAATCCAGCCCAGCTCGGGAGCGACCAAAAGGCTCGTGAACTGTTTGGTGGCCCTTGCATGAAGTTTCTTGGTGTAGTTCCCAGAGGGCAACCAGCCACCTTCCAAATCACAGCAGCAGCAGCCCTCCACCAGGCTCCTGCTGGCAGCCTCAGCCAAGGACCGACTGAGCCCTGGAGACCGAACTCCCCTCTCACCCCTTAAGAAGGCCCCTCCAAAAAGTCACACGGGGGAGTCCGTGGCGCATGGGGGAAACCTGCCCTGCTGTTGCCTGTATGGCCCATTCTAAGGCTAACGAGAGGCCTTCGGCATGATCTGACACCCTTCCCCAGCGCAAAATCCCCGGCCCTGAGCCCTGTGATCTTGCAGTTAATGAGCGGTCTCGAGTGACTCATGGGGCGTGAGGATCGCAGACCAGACCCATGTGACCCACCGACCTACATTTTATCATCATCCCTCCCCACCCCCCCGGATAATGCACCACAACCCCTTTCCCATGGGGCCGGCTGACCCTGAGCGGGAACGCAACACTTCCTAAGTGTGCGGGGACGGGGAGGGGAACGAAGGCAAGGGAGGTGGCTTAACTTAGCATGCTCAGCGGTTGGAAATGGCCTGAAGCCGGGGGAGCAGAGAAAAGCCTTTGCACAAGTTAACTGGCTCTAGGGGAGAACAAAGCAGTTCAGCACATTTCCAGGCAGATTCCCTTCCGAGGGGCAGGACTGAGAGCAGAGAACGAGGCACTCCAACGGCGCAATGGTGGGGACACGAGAGACCCCAGCACACCCTCATCATGCACCGCAGCCCTCAAATCCAAAGCCAGGACCCAGAGCAGGGTTGCGATTGCCTGCCTGGAAACATCCCCAGCGCTGGGATAGATTCTACGGGGGAGCTCTTCAAAAGCACCTAAGAGATTTAGATGCTGAAGTTCCATTGAGGGCCAGTGGGATTTGTGCTCCTAAATGCCTTCGGTGCCTTTGAGACGCTCCACACTCCTCCTCTGCTCTAATACGATTAGCAGGAATTCTCCCGCTGCCCAGGACTCGTGGGGTTCTTTCCTCTTTGGAGTTCTGCCTTTCTCTAGCCCACCTCAAAGGGCTTTGCCAACAATGCACCCCACAACCCCCCTGAAAGGTAGGCTGGCTACTACCCCTATTCCAGACACAGCCGAGCCTAGGACACTGAGGGACAAAGCAGCTTGCACGTTAGTGACAACGTTCAGCTTTCCAGTCCCCTGCTCCGGCCGCTAGACCACAATGGTCCGCTCACCCTCAAGCCGTCCGTACGTCAATTGGCTTCCACTGCCGCAAGGGAGGTTTAGGTTGGACATTAGGAAAAACGTCTTGTCAGGGTGGTCAAGCACGGGAATAAATTGCCCAGGGAGACTGTGGGATCTCCATCACTGGAGATTTTTAAGAGCAGGTTGGACAAACACTTGTCACGGATGGTCTAGAAAATACTTAGTCCTGCCATGAGTGCAGGGGACTGGACTAGACGACCTCTCGAGGGCCCTTCCAGTCCTACGATCCTATGATTCTATATGTGTTTAGCCAACCTCTGCCACCCACGTCACAACCCTGTGACCAAAACAAAAACCCCCCTTTCATAGCATCTCTGCCCAGAACTGGACCGAACTGGCTAGTGATGAAGGAGCTCGGATGTTTCCCTCCGGGTACAGATCTCTTGGGGACCAGCACTGAAAGGAACTGAGAATAAAGTGGTAATTTCACGATGTTTCGGTTCAAAGTTTTAAATCCTTGCTTAAGTTTTGCAGGGTATATTTGAGTGGGGAAGGCGAGCACTCGACAACACTTGCTCACGAAACTGCAGAAAGGACGGGGCACGGAGGAAGAAGAAATTTCTGAGACACCTAATTGCTACACCTGGAAGAAGAAATTTCTGAGACACCTAATTGCTACACCTGGCATACAAGAGAAACTCCCGTCAGTAGCTAGCATGTGGGATGCCGGGGGGAGTCGCCGGGTACAAAAGCCCCTTTTTTAGCGCTCAGGAGTCACTGAATAGCCTGGCACCTCCAGCCTGTTCTGCTGTCCATGATGTCAGCAGCCCCTCTTGTGTACTATGCACGCTGACAGATTCAATTCTGTTCATCCACGGGGGAACTGTGCTTGACCTTTATCATTGTCACAGGAACACGCTGGAAATCGATGCAGAGAGCGGCACGTGAGGAAAGATTTAACTAGGCATACCTTGGCTAAACAACATTATCGGGGGCCCGCTGCAGACGGCACTGCCACTGCCTGCAAAGAAATGTATGTGCCCAGACGTGACTGCAGAAGTGAGCCCTCGGAGGGGGCAGGCGTGATACTAGCAGATAGCTGAAAGGTGTAAGCATCACGGTGGGAGGGGAATTGGCTAGGGTGGTCCCAGGAGTATTATTACCATTAATAAAGTGAAGTTAAGCCCAGGGAAGGCTGAATATCAGGAAATACTTCCTGACAATGAGATCCATTAGGCTGCGGCATCACCTCCTAAACGAAAGAGGTGGGAGCCCCACCACTTGGGGCATTTAAAACAAGACAAAGCCCTAACGGGAAGATATTGCAGGGAGAACCCATGTACTGGGGGTGGAGTAAAGGGAATATTATGGGTCTTTCCCAGTTCTGTTTTCTATTTTTCAAATTATTATGGGGTCTGGAGGGTCCTTTATCTCGTCGAAAGGGAACATCCAGCCCCCCAGGGCTCTCAGCTGGACTCAGGGGGAAAGAAAACAGTTACTCAAAAAAGAGCCCAGAGGAGACAGACCGATTCATTACTGCGAGGCTTGCAAGGGCACCTACCTCATTGCGAGAAGCTGCGGCGCGATGCAGCGGGGTTAGCCAAACAGTGTCCTTTGCATTTACGTTAGCACCTGAGGAGACGGAGCAGAAAGAGGAGGTGAACACATCTGGGCAAGGGGCACTGCCAGGGTACAAGACTGTCAGATGCTCCAAGGCACCATCACTGTTTTTAAACACCCACTGCTGTGTCTGCTTGGTTAGACAGCGTGTCCATTTCTTCGGTTAAAGAAGGAAACGGATTGAGCTTTAGGGCCGATCTACACTTAAAAGTTAGGTCGACACTTAAAACTTCACACCTCGGAGCCAGTAGTTAAGCCAATCGAAACCGCACTGTAGACACAGCTGGGCCGATGGAAGAATTCTACCTACATCCGCAGACCCCTTCTGTCACTGTAGGAAAGGTCTAGACCAGGGATCCCCAACGCGGTGCCCGCGGGTGCCATGGCCCCCGCTGGGGCATCTATGTCCACCCGTGTCCTGGCCGCCAGACAAACAGCCGCCGAAATGCCACCAAGCGACGCCTCTTGATGACGCTGCTTCTCGGCATTTCGGCGGCAACGCTTCTTTGCTTGCCGCTTCTCGGCGGCATTTCGGTGGCTGCTTGTCCGGTGACCGCGCTGCTCGGCGGCTAGTCGCCCGGCGCCCGCCCCACGGAAAGGTTGGAGACCACGGTTCTAGACTGTGGTGCTACTGTAGCGTAGCTCTACCCTTAGTTTAGACGCTACAAAACATACGCTCCGGCACCAAGTGGAGCAGCTACCCCCAGCAGAGGGCTGCAGCTCCTTGGCGTGAAGCGGAGGGAATGCAGCACTGAGGTAGATGGAAAAAAAACTACATTTCCCAGCACACACTGCTCCACCTTCATCTCAGTGGCCACAAGACTATCAGTCCCAGAATGCAGTTCGTCATCTTGTTCTAAAAGGAGGCTGCTCGGACAAAGATGGTGCATTTCATACTGGAATCTGTAGGTCTGTGTACAGGTGAAGGAGACCAGAGCCGCACTGCAGGAGTCTGCAGGCCTGGCTTTTGTCATCCCTGCTCTGCTGTCTCAAGATTCTCTGTGCCAGCCTAGGACTGTCAAAACCCAGCGTAGAGCTGCCCTGCTCTTCCATGCCACCAAGCAAACTGCTGACAAATCAAGGGCATCTGGAGAGAGCAATGACAATGAATGTCAGATTAGGGGCCTTTTTTCTCCCATCTATGGCGTGCAGAGAGCCAGCCTGGACGTAGATTTGAGCTGTTTCCGAGGAAAATGGTACTTTGGGTTAGAGCCAAGAATGCAGCAGGCAGGTGCTGAGCAAAATTCTCTAGTCCTCATCCCACACCCGACAAATGATCCAGATCTGCGGCTCCCCACCCCACTCCTGCAGTTCGAGGCTTCCCCCCCAGACAGTTCTGTCACTATCCTTCAATCCTGACCCACAGTCCCTGCTATCCCAGCCCTGGGCTCCCCCCACAGAACTCGATCAATGCCCCTCAGTCCTGACCCACAGCCCCCCAGTATTACAGCGGTAGGCTCTCTGAGCTCTGCCGTTGCCCCTCAATCCCAATTCACTGCTCCCCTCACCAGGTCTGCAAGTGCCCCTCAATCCCAATCCGCAGCCCCCTAACTCCCAATATTTCAGTGCCAGGTTGTTTTAAGATTTGCACAAACCTCCTCTTGGCATCTGGGTGAGAGCAACTAATGACATTTCCTTTGTGACTCAAGCACCAATTCTCCTGTGGATGAAAACCCCTTGTACCCCCATGCCATTGAGCAGCAGCCCCTCCGCGTTAGACCCACAGGAGGGCCAGGCTGGCTAAACCTGAGCACATCCATGCAGCCGGCTGTACTGGGCAGAGACAGTTGCGGGTCTTACCTGACAGTATTAGGAGCTCAATGATTGGGACATCTCCTAAGTAGGCAGCAGCATGCAGTGGGGTTCGTCGTTCTTGGTCCTGCCGAGGGAGATAAAAAAAGGCCATGATGCAACTATCCACACAGCAAACACCGCTCCTTCCCCATCCAACTTCCCCCACCCTAAAGACCCAAATGCTGCTTCCTGCCTTGAGGACATCTGGGTAAGTCTAAGTGATGGAGGAGTCTGCTTAGGACCAGCAAGAACTGACAGCCTGGTGGGGAGGCAATGGACTACCTTTCATACCGCAGTCCACTTCAGGGTATCTGTCAGGTGGAGCAGGGGCTGGGGGCCAGGAATCCAGGGGTCTATTCCCAGTTCGGGGAGGTGAGTGGGGGCTAGTGGTTAGAGCAGGGGGCTGGGAGCCAGGACTCTCAGTTGGCTAATTTCTAACTCTGTCACCTTGGACAAGTTACTTCACTTCCTCCCTGCTCCAGCTTCCCTAAACAGAGATGGCATCTAGCTCGCAGGGTTGTAAAGCTTAATGAAGGTTTGCAAAGCGCTTGGAGAGCCCTACATGAAAGGTTTATAAAACCACCAAGCAGTATTACCCGGTGCTCCGTATGCCCTTCACACACCCTGTCATTCTATGTCAAGTGCCAACAACAATAAAAGCCTGCGAGCACCGGGAGCAGCTCCCAAAACGCATCAAGCCCAAGTAACTGGGAGAGGCTATAAAGGTGCAGGAAGCACAGCGTAGATAAGATCAGTTTTCTTCGCTTGGTGCTGGGCCCTGGGTAACCTCGTCCTTGAGGCATTCGGCTCAGTCTCGGCAAACACCAAGTGGGTTAGAGGGGCACAGAAGAGAGATTGAGGTCCCAACTTTTAATTGCATTTAATGAAAGTTGTATTTTTTTTCATTAAGTTAAAAATAAAATAAGGAGAGAGAATCAAGACAACGACTGGGAGGACTGGCAAACAATCTGGAGAAGCAGAAAGTGAAACTGACCAATCTCATTCCCAAGTGAAATCAGCACCCGAAGAGATACGTGCGTTAAGTGTTAATCGGTCTCACGTTTTTTGTGCAACAGAGCAAAGGCATTTTAGAGAAAGGATGATTCTGATCAACTCCCTTGAAAGAGAAGGAGACTATAGAATTATCACGTCCTTGAACGAGGCAGCCAAGGAACAAAGTCTCCTGATCCCTTTGTAACATGTCAAGATATGATCTAATCCTTAGTCCCAGTGGCTGGCACCAGAATCAGTGCGGGGCCTCCCCTCTGAGCCAGCACAGAGCCCACGATGCTCGACCCAGACCCATGCTGCTCCCTTGCACTATTCATTCAGGGTCCACAACAGTGCTAGCCCCGTGTGTGCTGCAGCATGGGCAGAAAGAGGCTGAAGCATTAGATGCAATGGCCAAGAGCATGTGGAAAAAATAACACAAGGCCAGAGCGCAGCGCAGTGAAAACCTCATGAATGCCCCACAGCCTATCAGAGAGTAAGATGCTGAACCAGACGCAGCCACTTACCCAGAACCCATGACACTGACCTAGAGACACAGCCTAAAAGAGCAAGTAGTCACTGATCCCGGGCCAATCCCCAGCGCCACACGCTGACAGACAGCTAGGCTGAGCCAGTCATTTTTTGTTAACAGTGAGGGTCGTCACTGGGATAATTGACATGGGGTCGTGGCAGTGGCAGTTTTCACATCGAGGTTGGATCCGCTCTAGTCCAAGCAGGAAGTGTTTCAGGGCAGTTCTCTGGCCTGTGTGATTCAGGAGGCCAGATCGGATGATCGCAGTGCTCCCCCTTTCTGGCCTTGGAATCTATCCACCAGCCTACCCGACAGACAGAGACACCACTCTCAGCCATACACCTGCCACTGGTTTGGTCGCAGGAATCTTGGAAGCCAGATGAAGGGAGCGTTTGCATCCAAGTCTGATTGGAACATTTGCATGCGGATTTTACTCTCCTCTTCCTCAGAGCTGGCTTTTCAGGTTACATCACGGGCCACGATCGACCCAGGAGGCCTCTGAAGCAAGGGCACTCAAAACGAGCGCTACCAGGAGCTAGAAGGATGCATCTGACTGGCAAGAGAGCGAACGAACTGGTAGCTGCTATTCGTCCTGAAGACGGGGTGTGGTCCGAAGACTGCAGGCTGCAGCATTCAATATGGCATCTTCATCCAAAGGGCCAACCCCTCCCCCCCCCAAACAACTCAATCTGGACACTGCATTCTGGGCCTGGCAAGCCACACCTCCTTACCCAAGGTGAGAACAGCCAGGTGGTAGCACCTGCAAGGCTGCATTTCGGCCAGCCCCACCCTGCTCGGGTGTACTCTGCAGACAGATTTAAAAGAGGGGCAGCGAAAGTGCATCTGTATTCCTTGGGACGTTAGCTCTGCTCCACCAACCAGGCCAGCCTCAACACAGACAGCTCAGCCGTGCTCTCATCAGACTATGCTGGACCTCTCTTCCAAAGGAGAGCAAGGGATGCTGCCAAACTAGTCCCAGTTCACTGCCCTTCCATTCACCTGCAGCCTTCAAACGAAGAGCAGAAAACCGACAAGACACTGCATTGTCCGAACGCTTTATAAATAGCGGACAAGTCTCCCAGTGACTAGGATGTACCATTAACCCCATTTTACAGAGGGGGAGAGGGAGGCCAGGGGACAAAGGCCCAGATTTTTAAAGATATTTAGGCATCCCAAGGCCTTCCTTGGGAGCCTAAGTCAGTTAGGTGTTACCTAACTACCCCTAAATACCTTTCAAAATCTGAGCCAAGGTTGCAAAGCCAGGAATAGAACCCAGGAGCCTTGCCGCCAAGTTGCTACTCTAACCACTGGATCACACTGCAGAAAAGATTCTCGCTCGCTTACCAGAAGCGTAACAGTTCCACCCTCTCTGCTTTGGCTACACAAGCATATTTCAGAGGCAAAACGGAGGAGGACAGGTCAATCTGAGACAGGCGCGTCAGCGTGCCACGCTAGGCCAGGCAGCTGCTGCTCCAGCACTCACCAATATATTGATATTCTCTTTCTGGTTCAGCAACGACCGCACCTCCTCTATATCGCGGTTGAAGATGGCTTGGACCAGAGGAGGCTGCAAAGAGAAAGACACTCAAGCGGTGAAGCAGGTAAAATGAATGTGCAAGGACAGGGATGGGAGGATGGCCGGCAACATCATTCATATACCCCCAAGACCAGCCCGACAAGTTAGTCACCTCACGCCACCTGTGTTTGTTTGGGGCTCCTGCTTCTATAGCAAACGCAATATCTACTGAGCCACTCTAGCGAGCTGCAGCTGTGGAGACAGGCCCAGCTGTGGTATCTGACAGGAATTCTCCCCCACTCCTTGCAGCTGAAGGCTTTTAATATTTATACAAGCCAATTTCTGTTTAAAAAAAATAAAGAGAGAGAGAGAGGCTGCTGCTTCTGCAAGGATTACAAAACCGAAGCGAAGTGAGTGTTGGTGGAAATTGCCGGGTTATCCGCCCTAGGGAATAAAGCCATGAGATGAAGAAGCGCGGTACAAGTTTTGCACCCTACCCATGGGCCTGGAAAGACTACATCTGGGGGGGCAGGGGCACCCAGGCAGGCCCTGATCCTGGCCAGATCTCAGTGGGAATCTGTCACCTTAGTTCTCTGCCAAGAAGAGGGCCAACTGCTGCCAGTTGTGGGGGGAACTTGCCCGCGGGGAACTGGACCGAGACTCAAACTCGTTTCACACAGGGGCCACCCTCAATAGCTGGCAACGGCGTTTGATTGCTCTGTTGTGGAGGCCGAAGACTTTGTAAAACTCAAGGAGGGACTGGCCATTTCTAAGAAGTTATAATGCCAACAAAACTCGTTTAGGAAGGGATATAAACAGTCAAGCTTCATGGCTTAAACCACTCTCTAATTATTCGGATGAGACCTTCATAGGGGGTAGATTATCCCACATCTGCCTTCCCCTGGGCTTCTTGCAACATCCTTTGAAGTGGCCGGTGCTGGCCACTGTCTGAGACAAAATACTGTCTCGATGGATGACAGGTCTGATCCGGTCTGGCAATTCCTACACTTCTTACCCAGCCTGAATTTTAACAAGTGCCTTAGAGGGGAAAGACGCTGCATCTCTCTCCCAAATCCCCTGAGCCATCCGCTCCCAACAGGATACAGCATCCGATGAGCAAATACTCAGGAAAGCTAGCTCTCGGGGGTCACTCAGTGAGAGGGGCAGGCCCTGAACCCAAAGACACTCTTTTCAGAACCCACGTATGGATGGTCTTCAATAGCAAGAGAGTGAACATGGCCCAGAGCGGGGCCCTCCTCTCAAATCTCACGCTGCAGGGTAACAGCCAAACCCCCTTCACCTCTCCTGTCACTACTTCTGGGGCTAGCCTCAGTTGCCATAAGATTTGGTTATAGCCAGAAAATGTCGACACTGATCCCATTGGCCTAAAATGGATCTTTATGGACAAGCCCCCACTTGCGATGTGCTCCACAACCCCCTGTCCTGTCCCTTACTTCACCCTATAATCCACCTTCCGACCCCTCTCAGCGGCAGAGAGCACACAGTTACCAGGAGTGGTACCCTGGAAGACCGACCTCAGGGAAAGACTGGTATCTTCGGTTCTGATGGCACAGGGGGAACACACCCTCCTGGGAACCTGGTGCAGGTTCGGTTACGGTGGGTGAGCAATCCCCCAGGGGAACCCCAAGCTTTGGCAGCTACCCGGGACCTCCCTGCAGCAGTAACAGAACCCTGCTGCGGATTTCCTGTCACCCAGGCCCAGATTGTACTTTCTGTCGTTTATCCTGGGAGCTCTTTGGGGCAGGGACCGCGGCCGCCTTTACGTCTGTATAGAACCAAGCGCACTGCGGCCAGGACCGAAAACAAACCACCCCCCTTTGCTCAAGGTAGCGCAGCAAAGCAGATCTCCAAGCAGCCCAGCTTCTGGGGTGATGCCTGCTCCACCTTGCCCTCACGTTCACTCCAGCACCACCAACCTCATCTGCTCATCTTGACTGGTCTGCTCAGCAGAGGGAACCCTGAACTTGCATTTCCAGGGCAGACTTGCCGCCCTTACTACCCTGCTAACTCCAGATTCCCTCTCCCCTCTCCATCCAAACACGTGCATGAAAGCAGCGAAAGGTAGGGGGACACAGCCCCAGTCGGAGGGAACGAGCGAGTCATTCGCGTGGAATGCAGTGGACTCAGCATCCAGCGTTAGAGATTTCCAAAAAAAAAAAAAATAGATGCATAGACGCATAATTATGCCCTGCACGGACTTCAGCGGAGCTTGCAAGCAATGCTGGGACTGACACACCCACCCACCATTCACAAGGGAAGCTGAATGTTTTGGTTACCAAAAAAAAAATAATAATAAAAATAAGGTTACTCCCCTGTTCCCTTCTCTCCCCGCCATGTGAGGCTTTAACCCCCGAGCCTATTGGTGAGATTGCAACAGCGAGGGACCACAGCAGGGGTAAATATTTGCTTGGAGGAGTCTGCAGCCCACATCTCAGAAATCATTACTGCCGGGGTACGAACAAAGGGGGTTCATGTCAAATCAGGGGGTTCAAGATGAGATGTTTGCGGGCCAGTGGGGTATTTGGAGGAGTAGGGGGAGGTGCTGGGCGTCATCCAGGGAGTAAAGGGGGAGAAGCGAAGAACAACTGTGTATCAATATACTCTGCCTTAGGAAAGTGAAGTACATACGAGGGCCGGGAGGTTTAATTCATACCCCGTACAGCGCAGAGATGGTTGAAACCTGACCCTTTTAGGGGAATTGTACGTGGCGATGGTCATCTGTATAGCCACTCTTCCTTCCCCACCCGCCCCCCCTGGGTGAGGGGGGTATCTACAGAGATCAGTCAGCCCTGCTGATTTGGGGGTTGTGACACAAGTCAAGTGGGGTGCAGACAGGACTGACTCACACCCCCCCAGTATGTAGGGAAGCTGAATCACATATACCGCCGATGGCAATAGGGTGCATGGGAAATGCCTCATCACACCCGGGGAAATGGCAGGGCATACAACAGCACAGGGACACCAACCCCCCCCCCCCCCAAAGTGATGAAAGTGGGATGCGAGATGAATCACCCCCTAACTTGTGAAAGTGGGGTGCACACCGTGGGTGGTGTCAAATCAAGCCCCACCTCTGGCCCGAGAGGGGCTGAAATGGGAAGGGGGATGAGGGGGTGTAGAGGGAGAAAGGCAGGGAATGAAAACGGGGAGACTCAAATCCTGTCCAGCCTTCGGGGGGATAAAGAGGTTGATGGGAGGAGTAAGGGGGTAGGAAGGATGGCTGGGGAGACGGGGATAAGGAAGGAGATGAGGACTGGGAGACAGGGAGAAGACGGGGAACAGGCAGAGCTAGGAGATGGGGGACACCAATATGGGGGAGCAAAGGGAAGGAGGCAAAGATGAAGGCAGGCCAAGCGGGGCGGGGAGGAGAGGCAGAGCTGGGGGGCAAAGAGGCTGGCACTGGGGAAATGGGGCAGTGGGTTGGAAAGGGATAAAAAATGGGTGCAGAGAGGGTGGGGGGAAAAGGGGAACAGAAATGGGGCAGGGGGTGGATGGGGGCTCCGGGAGGCCAAAGGCAGAGGGGCCAAGGCCAGAGATGGGGTGCGAGGGGCACTTGCAGAGATGGGGAGCA